AATGAACGAATAATTTTCAAAAATACAATAAAAAAAAAATAGCATTTTATTATACGATCATACCTTGTATACACATAATAAAATAAAATATATAGATATACATACATATATATATATGTACATATATGTATGCATTTTAATAAAACCCACGACGTTGTCATTAATAGGAAAAATTGTAGAAATTGAAAATAATATGAACATAAAAAAATTTAACGCAATGTTATTTTAATCTCGTTGGCAATATTATACATACTCATAAAATTACATATTATGTATATATAATCTCAAATATTAACGTTTATAATGTGATTTTTCTCTTTTAATGTTGTAGTAAGTGAATGTCAATATTATTTTTCACTATCCTATTTAAATCTTTTCGGCGAATGATTGTAAAATTAATTCATAAAAACCAATTTTAGTTTTAAATTTTAATCAAAAAATTTTATTTCACATTTTTTGCAAGGCATAGTTTTAAGAATTACACATCGTCCCGTCAATAAGAACCAATCAAACCGGACATGAAAAATTATCAATTGTTTATTTTTAATTAAATTAAGTAAAGTAATCAATAATATTCGAATCCTTATTGGTAAAACTTTGTGAAAAGCTTTAACTTGGAAGCAAAGTCAACTTTAGTAGGACTGAAATTTTACAATTAATTTTCATAATTAACATAAATTATTATTTCATGCACATTGTAGTCTATTATGGGCCCATCATACATAAAATCGTTACCTTATAGTTTTAAACATCACATGCTTTTAATTTTTAAATGGTGTGTAGTAATTTTTGACTTCTATACACAAAATTGGAAAAGAAAAATTCACGGAAAATTTATAATGTTTTGAACTTTTGTTTTTCACAATTTTTTTTTTTCATTTTATAAATTTTCATTTCGTCGGTTTTATTTTGTTTTGTTTAAAATTAGAAAGAATAAAAATATTTAAAGTAATTTTTTCCAATATTTTGTTTTATTTTATTTTTTGGAAAATTTCAAGTGAATAATGATAAATTGTGTGAGTGTTGTGTTAAAAAAATATTTTTTTTTTTATTTTTGAAAAAAAAAATTTACGCCCCCTGATGGTAAGTTTTTCTATATGGAAATTTTCTTTTAATTTTTTTTTTTGGAATTTTTAAATTTTTCACTTTAATTTTTATATTTTTTAACGTAATTATTTGTATTTTGTAGGTTTTTTTGGGGGCTCTGTGTATTTTAATCTGCTTTTAGAAACTTCATATTAAATGCTTTCCTTGAATAATTTAATTTCATATACATACATACATATATCAGAAAATATTCCTCTTGAATCTATACAAATATCATTCTTTTAAGTATGAAGTTTGTTGAGTGCAATAGTCTTTTATATTTTGTGTTTTAAATTTCTTTTAATATTAAAATGAAATAAGAAGCGGATTATGTTAAAAGATTTTTGCACATGGCAAATGAATTATACTGTTAGCATGATAGCAGATTTAAGAAAGTTTTCAATGAAAGATATAAGGAAATTTTAATTCAACGAAAGTGAGCCGATCATGATAGTTACCATCATCATCAATGTTCCATGGAAGTTATAAAAAAAAAAAAAAAACAAGATAAAAATATAATTTTGTTTTTCTTTTTTTGTGGGTTTTCTCATTCATAAAAGGTAGTTAAATTTAGATATTTTATTTTTTGTTTATTAAAAATGCTTTTCATAGTGCTACAATAATACATGCATTGCAAGTTTTACCGCTGCTGTTGCTACTGATAAGTTAATAATTTATGTAAAAATAGGAGCTTTCAAAGGCAAGAAATAAAACAAAGATGTGAAAAAGAATTCTTTTGCTTAAGTAACACTTATGTTTAATTTTCATATTCTCATTTTAATTAAACCGATATAATCTAAGAGCAGTGAAATATGTTTTTTTTTATTTTTTATTGTAAGTTATCGAATTTGGTTACATTATTTTTTTTTTCTACTAAATTTTTCCCTCTCTTTTCTGTCCTTCAATGTCAGTTACTTTTCCGTTTCTATAATCCTAGTGTTGAAGCTATCGTTCTTATTGAAATCTATAGGATTTTGCAAAAACTTTGATTAATTTTAAATGGGCGTATAAAATTTGAAAAACATATAATTGTCCAATTTTTGTTGGCATATACAATTTGTATTTACCATGCATTGTAAACTTAATTGCGAAACATTGTCTTGCCTTATTATACTGTAAACTTACTCAAAGTTTATAACTGAATAAATAATGGTCTATTTCGATTTTGCAACACTTGGACCAACTATAATTTTAAAAAACCGCCATTTTTTTTATTTGTAAATAGGTAATCCTTTTTTTGCGTTTGGTTAATAATAATACCTGTTAGTGTTACTATTTTGTTGCTGAACGGCGGTACCGAATATTTTCAAGTTATTTAGTTTAGTGGTGTCGAAGTCAATCAATATTAAAATATCCACATGCATTTTAATTATTATTTTTTATTTAAATAAAATTTCAATTTGATCCAATCCTAAACAGAGATTCATCTCCTTAAATCAGGCCTAAGATGTTCGCTGTGCTTAAATTTTAAATAAAATTCATAATGATTGCGAAAATACGTTTTGACAACAAGAAAGTTTTCCAAATTTTGCAGTTTTCTTTTGAGATACTCTTACTTTTTTGAATAATTAATAATTGCAAATTTTGTTTTTAAATTTTATGCAAATTTAATTAAAAGAAAATAAAATTAAAGCTTCTTTAATTCACTAAAGAGTTTTTTGGATGTAAGAAAATAAATTTAAGTTTAAAATATTTCACTCTCTTAATAAATGTATAATATTTTTTATTTACAAGATAAATTACGATGGCATGTTACATAATATGTATATGTATTCAAACGAAAACAAACAAAAGTACATACATAATATACTATAATATTTTTTGGAAAAAAATTCAAAATTATAAAAAAATAATAATTATTGTAAATTTACTATAATTTAATAATAAATATGAAATATAATTATTTAAAAAGAATTCATCTTATTTTTATTATTTTTTTTTTAATGCAAAATTTCTCATTTCTGTTGTAAATATTTTTTTTCTTTTATTCATTGAAAACTATTTTATGATTTTATTAAATTAATCTATATTTATAAATTTAACATATTTTTTTATTATTCCTTTTATTTGATACCATATACATACATATAATATAAACAATTTTAAAACAATATTATTTGAATTAATATTTTAAAAATAACGTATGTTACCATAATTTATATATGTTTGTGTATAGAAATGTTCAATTCCTTTTTTGAATCCCTGCAAACCCATCATGATTATGTCCGATAATTCCTCCAAGTGCCTACATTCAATTCTCTGAAGAATTATATCCTTTGTTACAACTTACAAAAGTAGTTACAGTTTTCGTGACATAAGTGTTTTCTAATTTTTTGATAAGCAGCCCATACAAAAAGTCTTACCAAAAAAGCCCTTACTAAAAACAAAATTGAGATCTAAATTTTCCGACTACAATCTTGTCTTGTGGTGGACCCGGTAGCTGAGTTTAACTCTAGTATTATAAGGTTGCAGTCGGGTGAGCGCAGAATGAAAATGAAATATTGTTAGGAAACTTACGCCTCAAATAGAATAATATCTGCAAAACTGTGCTCAAGAATAAAGAAATTCACTATAGTACCAGTGCTATGCTCCTACAAATACCACAGCAGCTGAAGTTAAAGTTTAGTTCTACGAACAGTTAACATCAGTACTTAAATAAAACTCTAAAAATGACTTTTCTGCTCTAATAATAGTGGTCAACTGTAGGGCGGCACGGTACTCGACACAAAGTAATAATGGAGAAAGATCAAAAGATATATCCAAACAACACGAACTAGTGATAACCGGTACAATATTCCCACACAAAGAAAATGTCTCGAAGATGGTTAAAATTAATAATGGACGTAGGGAATGGGGGGCCACGGATGTTCACACCCTTTTAACTGTCGACATAAAAATCAAGTTAGCAGTCAAAAGAAACAAGAAGGGCAGGTTAAGACAGCTTGACACTCACATGCTTAAATCAAAAAATACAAAGCAGAAATTTGTATCACATATGCAACAGGAGTTCAACAGATGTCAGAAAAAGCCAGACATGAAAAGAAAGATTGGATCACTCGAGTCATTAAAATTTTAATCAGATTTTTATAGCTCAATCAAAGCAGTATTTTCGCTTTAATTTTGGTTTTTATTTTTTGTTAAAAAATTTTATTTTATTAAAAAGTCACAAATACGAACAAAGTTATAAAAGTTAGACGTGCCTCAAAAATGCAATCTCTTCTCTCCTTATTGCCAGAATTGTCGTCGCATTCACAACTATATGGATCTTCATTCACGGCTCAGTTTATATGTAGTTTATTTTAAATTACATGTAAGAAGAATAATTTGATAAATAAATATCAAAATGGATTGTAAATTACATTAAACTGCCTTATTTTGTTGTCTACATTCCACAACAGATCTATTGCAGTTTGCTCCTCCGTCTCACAGAGTCTCGGCTAACGGACTTAATTCCCCTATAAAGCGGCCCGCGAGTTTGTGAATTTTCTTGCCAAAAAAATTTGATGTTTCGATTAGTGTTTGAGTCATATTACTCCTATATTAATGACTAAGTTTTTCCTATGGGCTGTAACTTAAGAACAACCAAAAATTAATTTTTCCAAAATTTTCTATTATTATTCCTCTTCCCGATTCGTTTCGTCTATTATAAGTGATATTATTTTCACTATAATAAGTAATATTATTTTTAAATTATAACAATAACTATCACATAATTTGTTGATTATCAAATAATTTTTCGATTTACTAAATTTAATATATATATCTAAAAACTAAATTTTTTAAGTACTTATTAATTTTATATAGCTACATTCATACCCGTATAATATTAAATAAAATATTCTTGAATTAAATAAAATAAAATGTTCCTAAAAGAAAACTATAATTATTTTTCTTCAATTTATTTTTATTTATAGAATTCGCTTGGGTTACGTTAACTACAAATGATACGTACTCATTGGGTGCATTGGTTTTAGCAAATAGCTTAAAAAGAGTAGGTACAGCACATCAATTGGCAGTACTTGTAACACCGAATGTGTCAGATACTATGAAATCAAAATTAAAAGACGCATTTAATGTTGTACAAGAAGTTGATGTATTGGATTCTAAGGATGAAGCTAATTTAGCACTTTTAGCACGTCCAGAATTAGGAATCACATTTACGAAATTACATTGTTGGAGATTAGTGCAATTTGAAAAATGTGTTTTCTTGGATGCAGATATTTTAGTAAATATTTATTCATATAAATGCATCTACATATAATACATACATATGTTTATTATGTATGTATGTATAAACTATGTAGAAAATTTAATAACTGTTTTAGTAATTTAAGAATAAAATTTAATCATTATTCTACTATTTTAGGTTTTACAAAACTCTGATGAATTATTTGAAAGAGAAGAACTTTCAGCTGCACCAGATGTTAGTTGGCCAGATTGTTTTAATTCTGGTGTATTTGTATATCGTCCAAATTTAGAAACATTTAATAAATTAATTGAATTCGCTGTAAAAAATGGTAGTTTTGATGGTGGTGATCAAGGTTTACTAAATCAATACTTTTCTGACTGGGCAACTAAAGATATTAGTAAACATTTACCATTCACATATAATACAGCCGCATACGCAGCATATTGTTATTTACCAGCTTTTAAACAGTAATTTATTATTTTCAAAAATAAATATAAATTACAAATTATATGAGATTTTAACATATGACTTTTTTTGAACAATATGTACGTAGATTCAGAGATCGTATCAAAATTTTACATTTTGCTGGCAAACTTAAACCATGGTTAGCAACATTTGATTCACAAAACAGAAGAGCTCACACACCTCAGGGATATGAACATGCTGGTAAGAATTTTGTGATTATTGTCATTTGAGTACCCATTTTATTATAAATTAATAAAGTATTTGAACAAAACGCATTTGACCAGAAATACGTATGAATTTCGTCAAATACTTACAAATCATATTCATAAGCTAACATAATTATATATTTACGGTGGTAATCATTAATTTTTTTTTTTAATTTTTAGCTGACTTCATTCAATTATGGTGGAACATCTTTTGTGATCAAGTTCATCAAAGTTTACATAATTCAATGGTAAATTTTCTGTTTTCTTGCTTGAAATTAATGAATTTTGAAATTAATATTTTGTGTGATAAGTTTATTTAAATCTATTATACTTTTAACCAAAATTTCAAACAAAATAATTTTCTGAGTGATAAATATTAATATTATACATTTTTTTTTCTTAATCTTGCTTTTTTTATAACAACAAAAAAAAATAATCAAAAAACAATTAAAAGTTTAATTTAAAAATTAATGAAGCTGAGGTAAGCTCAAAAAGCCCTGAAAGCGAGGTAAAGTCCTTTAAAGTTCCTAATGTTATCATACAAATTTTAAAAAATAATGTTGCAAGCGCATAAACATTTTGCACTGAAATTTCAAAAAAAAAAAGAATTTGTTTAGAATTAAAGATAATTTATTTTAAATAATTTTGATTTAAATTTTCTATTTCTTTTCATTTTATATAATATCAATTATATTTTTATTGTATATATGCATATTGAATTTCTTTTTAAGGTAGAATTCAAATTTTAGGCATTTGTAGATATAAAAAATACATTAAGTATACAAATATTTTTGTAAATAACTAGAAATTGTTATAATACTTTTTTCGATCATGAAATTTGAAGCGTAAATTATAATTTACATACTGTATATACATATATAGACATTATTGAAAATTCCTGTATACACTATTCATTCTTATTTTTGTAAATAATATTTCAATTTTAAATATTAAAATATAATCTTTTAATTTAAATACAATAGCACATACAAAAATTTAAATTATTTCGACTTAAAGTTAACTCTTCCTTTAAATACTCTTTAAAATTTTTAAATTTTGTCAACATTTCATCAAAACCATTAAAACAATTCCAAACCAATTGATATCATTGAGCAAATTTCTCAACTGTTTTTATATGATTGAAAATCGAAATCTCAGAAAATTTTTAATAAAAAATATTAGCTAGCTATATATTTTTTATTTATTTGTTTACGTATATTTTTCGCACATGTATTATAAAAAAAATTTTACGTACAATTTTATTTTTGGGTAAAGATTTATTCAACATCAGGCAGAACTTATCAAGAAAATTCATATCCAATAATTATTTCTGAAACAATTAATCAAAATCCGATACTTTTCCACGATCCATGGGAAGATTACTATGAAAAATTGGAAAAATGCAATATTTATGAAAAAAATCTATTTGAAAATAATTTCTTTAATGAAAAGACAATTCACAATTATTTAAATACTAATACTAATAGTAATAATAACAATGAAAATATTACAGAAACTGAAATCAAAACTAATTTAATTAATAACGAACAACTAAATAATAATAATAATAATAATAATAATAATATATTATTAGATTGTTATACAATTGAAAATACAAATCTTGAAACATTTGAAGACAATATTAATTTGCAAAATAATAGTGATAAAAATATTAGTAGTGACATTACTTTTCCAAATAATAATTATAAAAAAAATACTAATGATAATTGTAATTATAAAAATATTGAAGAAATTTCAGAAAAAATTTCTACACCACCACCATCACCACCACTACCATCTTCATATTCACAATCAATTCAAAACCAACAACAATATGATTTAAAAATGCAATTACAAACACAAAATAATAATAATAATGAATTAATATCACCAAATAAAGCAACATCAGAATCAATTAATTTTAATAACACACAAAATTTTAATAATAATAACAATGATAAAAGACTTAATAATAATAATGAAAAAAATACAAACAATATTAACAACAATAATGAAAATATTGATAATAATATTGAAGTAAATTATTATAAAAATAATAGCAATGATTTTTCAAATAATATTGAAAATACAAAAAATATTGATGAAGAGGTGTGTATTTAAAAACGTATACCTAAACATTTTAATTAAAAAAAAAGATCTCTTCAATATTATGTATTTTTATATTTAAAAATATAATACACATACAAAGTATAAATGTCCTTCCAATATTGTCTGTGCACTTAGTATATGAGAACGTCTATGTAAAAGTATTTCGTGGGGTTTCTTCAATCAAACAATTCTATTCACCCTTTCTCACATAATTTGATAATAATATATTAACATTGTTATATTTATTGTATAATGTACATTTATTTTATTGGAACAACAATATTTTTATTTAGTTACTTGATTTTCTTTGGAATTAAATTTAATTTATTTATACAGATTAAAAAATAGGGGCATGTGTCTAACTTCTTTTTTTAACTTCTTTTATTTGATATTTCTCAAGAATTAAAACACAAATCTACATAAGTTTTCATTAATACTTACTTATTTTGTGTCTGTTCAAATTTTAATGTACAAACGAATTCCTCTTAAAGTAAATTTATGTTTTAAGGCTTGAGAAACTTTAATTTAAAACATTTATTTCTTATTTATTTCACTAGTTTTTGTTATTATTTTTATTTTATTTTAAAATAAAAAATTTCGGGTATGATTGTATTACAAATACATCATAAATATATTTAATAAATGTAAATGAAAAAAAATTTTATTTTTTTTAATATTTTTCATACGTAATCTTCTCATAAATTCCTGGTACATTCCTATTTATTTTTAATACTAATAATATAACAGTATTTTTTTATAAAAATATATCTTATTCTGGGGTAAGCATTTTGAAAATTTATAAATATTTTATGAATAATTTTTTATGTGATAATTTAAATTAAAATTTTGAAATTGAAATAAAATTACATATTTAAAGTGAATTAGTACAAATTGAGGCACAAAAAAGAAATAATTTTCAGAATGCTTAGAAAAGTTAAAAAAAATAAAAGTTCTTAAATTTAATACACTAGTGCATAAATGAGGAGATTTGGGGGTATAAACTTAATTATGAATAGATGAAAAATATGTAATTAAATATAATTTCACCAATTGTCATCTTTTAGTGTCCTCATTACTAAAGTGTTATAAAATTTATTATAATCAAAAATTCGCAAACATCTCGTCTAATCTAATTTTTGTTAAATTGTAAAATATTTTTATATTTTATTACTTTTATTTACTTTTTTTTGTGTTTTTTTGTTTTTGTGTATGTGCTTTGCTTGATTTGACGGTATGGATAATATTAAAATTTACATTTTATTATTTCTGTTTGATCACTAATTTATATTTAATCACTAACTAGCTTGCATTCATTTTCTTTTTAACGAAAATATATTTAAATAATGTTGTTACAAATTATATAGTTTGTGTCTTTGGAAGATACTTTAATATTAAAAAATAATGAAAAAAAAATTTTTAGAGTGGGTTAGCTGGTGTACTTTCAACATTAAGATTAGGTGAAGCAAAAACACCCGAACAAGAGGCTTATGAACAAGCAATGAGACGTCAATGTTGGGAATCTGGTAACATTGATTACACTGGAAAAGGTATTTTTGTTTTTTTCTCATTTTCAATTATTAATTTCAAAAATTCTACTGCGTTATTATTTAAAAAATGAATAAATTTAATTTTTAGATTCATTTGACAATATTTGGAAGAAAATATCTCAAACAATTGACGGCAAGCCAAAGTCTGATAATAAACAAGAGTCTGCTAGTATGTAACAAAATCATAAAAATTGTTGCCAACATATTTAATTATTATTAAAAAAAAAAACAAAAAAAATTAAAGTCAACTACAAGTCAATTTTTATTTTTTTTTATTTTAAATTTGATTATATATCATTTATATACATTAAATATAATTATAATTTAATTTTATATAAAGCATAATTTCTTTTTTTTAATCTCGAATTTGAAAGTCCATATACATATACAATATATTACCTACTTACATGATTTTATGTTTTATGTTTTCATTATGTAAAATTTTTTTTTTCTCTCTCTTAATTTCATGATTTTCATATAAAAATTTATTGTATATTTAAAATACACATTATCAAATTATAATAATTACAAAAAATATTATACAATATTTTTTTTTATTTCTATTTTATTAGAATAAAAAGTAGTACATAATAAAAAGTTTTGTTTTTTGAATAAAAAAGAAAGTGTTCAATTTTAATTATTAGAATTTTTTATGCACAAAAAAAAATACTTATATTATATTATCATATTAATTATGAGCTTATAAAAAAAAATTTCTTTTGAAAAATGTTTTATAGGTTTTTTTTTAAGTTCCAGTTAGTATACTCGATTTCATAAACTAAATTTTTATTAAAAATAAATAAATCAAGAGATGAAAATGATCGAAAATATTGTATTTAAGAAATTTGAATTCATATTAAAAGTTTTATGGTTATTTACTCTTTTTCAGAATGAAAAATAATTATGAAAGAGAATGTTTAATTCAATCCTCTTTAATTATGTAATATTTAAAATTCAGCACATTTAATTATATTTAATTAATTATATAGCTTTAAATTATACACCATTCACCAATGCATATTATTATTGTATAATATGCATTTGTAGCCCTAATAGGGTAGTTAATCATTAAAGCAGTTATTTTAAAAATCTCTTAACTGTAACGTATTCTATAATCCGATTTTCAGATATAATTATATTGAGTTAAACATATTAAAAGTTTCATGTTAAGGCAACAATACTGCATTTTATTTTATTCAGTTTACCTTCCTAAACCGCAAAACATGTCAGTTTAGGTTTATTTGAAAGAACTCTAGTTTAGGTTTATTTGAAAGAAAAAATTGATAAAATTCAAATTTCTTGAACAAAATAACACTAAGAGTATGCTATAATTTTATGCCATATTTTTTTTTTCATAATATAATTTAATTCATTAGTTTTTAATTTAAAAAATTATAATTTCTACCTTAAAATTTATTAATTTTAAATAATAATTATTAAAATAAAGCAGACAAAATGTAAGTAAATATAATTACATTTATATATTTAATTTATTTACTTACAACATCTTATATATTATTTAAAATTTAAATAATAAATCTTACGTTTGAAAAAAAAAAATAAAAATAATGAAATAATTTGAACGTTAAAGAATAAAATTTATGTTTTTTTAAAAATAAAATAGTTTTTTAATTTATTAATTTTATTATTTATATTTTTTTCTTTATATAATTCATTTATTTTATATAAAGAAAAGTTATATATTTATATATTCATGTATATTATATGAAAAATATTTTGCAAATTTTTTTAGTAAAAATTTTAATAATTTTTAATTTGATTAATTTTTTAGGTTATTTTCTATCAGAGATCAAACAACAAAGCACCTTTTGTGTCGTGACTTAATTATGTAATTTTATGTTCTATTTTATAATTTCAAATTTTTTTAATTTTGAAAAATTTAATTCCTTTTCACATATGTATAAACTACACTAAAACGCATATTATATAATTTGAACACGTAGTACATTGCAAACTGATAAACTATTATGTTATCTAGTTATAATATTATACACAATATTTTATTTACAAACAAATTCTTTGAAACACCTAATATTCTGAATATCTATTTATAACATAGAAGACAAAACATAACAAATGTTTTTACTAATTTATGTAAAAATTAAATATAATAAAATTTAAAGTTCTACATAAATAAGTTATAGGCTTCAAATTTCTATTTTCATATTTATTTTAAAATCACTTTTAAACTATGAAATTCAAAATAAATAATTTTTAAATAATTTTATAAATAGTATAACCAATTATATATTAAATTTTTGGAATATATTTGAGTATTCAATTAATATGAATTTCAAATAAGTTACACATACATCAAGATTTTAATTTTTTTATTTTTAAAAAATCCACTTTATAATATGTGAAGGCTCTAATATTTGATGTTATTAGAAAAATTTTGTTTTTGAACTTTATAATGAATTCATCTGTAATTTAAATTTATTTAGTATTGAATTGTTTTTAGAATTATCATTTATCATTAAGCACACATTGTTTTTATGTTATATATACTTTTCTAATTTCATCCTTAATTTTAATAAATTGTTTGAGCTTATTCTCATAATATTATTGTTTTATCCATCTTTGTAGTAATCCCAATTAAATATTATAAATTATTAGTGTGAAAATCTTTAAAGATTATTTTTAAAATGTATAAGATTAACTTCATCAACAGAAAAACAAAAAATTATTAAACTATCATCATATAAACGAAAAGAGCACACCACCAATTATTGTACAAAAAAACCAACACTACACAAACTCAATTCCAACAAAAATAATACAAAAAACATCATCTTATTAAAAAATGGTACATACTTAAAAAAACAAACAAACATACATACAATATTTTATAATTATCTATAATTAAGTAAAATAATTGATTTTTTTTATATAAATATGAAAAATAAATTATATATGTATGTATATATGTTTTTGTAGGGAGATCTGCATCAAAGTCACCTGTTCGTGTTAATAATGATTATTATAATTACAATAATAGTAATTCTAAGCATCATATGAATAACAATAATATAACAACAGTAAAAATATCCGCTGTTAAAACAAAACTAACTGAAGGAGCCCAATAACAATTAATGATGTGTTTTAAATGTTTTCATTTTTGTAGAAAAAGAAATGAGGCAATTCGTTTGTGATTCTTAATTAATTTTAAATTTTATCTTAAAAAGTAAACAATTATTCATTATTAATATAATTTATGTTAACATTCATTAATAGCATAATAATATTGAACATTTTAATAATATTTTTTATAAATTATATTTTTTTTTATAAATTGCCCGAAAAACACTCAAAACTAATTAATTATTTCAATATTTATTAAACATATATTAAAAATATTAGTGAGAACTTAAAAAGTAATTTTAAATTTTTATAATTTTAACAATTTTCCACTTTTTATAGCAAAATATTGAGAATTTTGTCTTAAGTTATAACGTAGATATTTCAAAGAAAATTACTTTTAATTCCAAGTTAATTTTTAATAAGAATAAAAATCATTAATTATTGATAGAAGAAAAAAAACACTAAAAAGAAATTAGTTATTTTAAATAACACAAACATTACTAATATTATCACAATGTGGAATGTGAATACTTAAACATACAAAATAAGTATACATCTAATATCAAAGAAAAAATGAAACTTTATATTTTTGCAATCATATTTTTACATTACCATAAAATCAAATTAATATATGTTATTAAAAACGCATACTTGTGTTATGGCTACTAACTAAAATATAGCTGTTTTAACAATTTTTAATTAAACATTGTAATACTATTATAATAATTTAAACAAAACACTTCAAATAAAAATTATAGGCCGATTAACATCAGCCGATATTGAAGATGGAAAAATTGAATTTGATAAAAAAACTGGTGCTACAATTCTTTATAAAATAATACCCGGTGGTTGGACAAAAACAATTACAACACAACAGCCAAATGGTACAAAAAAAAGTGAAACAAAAACTTTTTATGATCCAGTACCTGTGACTGATGAAGAAGAAATTAAAAAACTTCAAAATCGTACTGATGGTAAAACAACCGTTGAACATCGTAAAATTCCTGGTGGACGTGAAGAAATTCATACTACTGTTTATCCTGATGGTACATCAAGTACTCAAATAAAAACTTTCTATGATAGTGGAGTTGATGTTAATGAAAATGAAACAACTAATAGAAATACAACAAAAAAGAATACAACTGCTGTACAAAAAGTTAAAAAACAAGATTCACAGGACAATCAAATACAGGAAATTCAACAATATAATAGAAGAGATAGCAAAAATATTGCAAGACAAGAAAAAAATATTGTTCAACAGTTCTCAGAGGAAACTGTTGAAGAACATCGCCGTGTTACTAAGGTATCTGGTAGACAAGTAACAAAAACTGATTCAGTTGAAGAACAACAACATAATGTTCAAGCAATACAATCAAAAACTGGTAAAAAGGTGAAAAAAACAGATTCTGTTGAAGAATATACAGTAAATGATAAAAAAGATGTTACTAAAAAGAAGAAGAGAACAGCAGCACCACCACCACCAACTTTGCCACCAGAATTTGCTGATGGTAAAACAACTGTTACATCAAAAAAAATCAACGGTGGTACCGAATACACATATACTACTGTTAATAAGGAAGGTAAAACAATGATATCAACAAAAACTGTTTATGAAGAAGAAGAAGTTGATATGACTGAAGAAGAAATAAAACAATATCAGAAACAATTGAAAGAAGCTAAAAAACATGAAAATCTTCAAACGGAAAAAACTTTAAAAACAAAAGATGGAAGTATTAAAAAAGTTGTTCCATCAGAAAATCCAGGTGATGTTACAACTGTTGAAGAGAAACGCATTCCTGGTGGCACCGAATATCATTATACAACCGTGACTAAAGAAGGAATTGTTAAAAAGTCTAGGTAAATATATATTTGTACAAGTTTAGTACATGAGTACAATATAAAATTTCTTTGCAATATTCAATACACAAATATTTAATTTAAGTCATATCCCTCAATTAGATCTATTTTATATTGCTCTAAATTAAAATATGCCTGTATCCCCATACAAATTATATTCTCGGTCGGTTCTTGCAATATCTTTTTGAAAATTTATTACATATTATACAACTTTAAAATTGTTATATACTTACAAAGTGAACCTGAAGTATTGAATATTCCAAAATTACAAATTAAATGGCTTAAATTCAAACATGTTGATTTTATGTTAGTTTCTTAAATGTTACCTAAATTTCTATGTACATATGAATATATATCTTAATATACATATTTTATTCTCTGATAAAATTGTTATAATAAAAGTGTTAATAAATTATTAATGTCATGAATAGTTAATAACACAGTAAATAAATGTTAATAATAAAAACATTAATAAATACACTAAGTTTTTATTCCTTAAATTCAATTATTGAATCTGTACAATACTCACATTTCTTTAATATCTAATTATTTATTTCTCTATTTTTAAAAGCTTAGGAAATACAATTGATTTATTTCTTAAACTTTTCATATTTATGAATTTCTTAAATTTTAATCTACTATAATTAACTGGAAAGAAATTTGTAAAATATTAATTTGCATATCAGAAAAGTATCATTAGGAACAATTTATGTATCTATTTAACATTTTTCAATAATTCAAGGAATACTTAAAAATTACAAATATTCAGAATATTCCACTGCATAGAGTTAGGAAATTGTGTATAAAATATTTATTTTTTTTCCATCAATAAAAGAATAAAAAGCTAAAAGAAAATGAAATTAAGGAAAACATTAATTTTGTTGATGCAAAATCCTTTTTATATCCTTTATTTTAATAATAAAATTTCTACACAAAAAAAAAACGAACAAAACTTTTTTATTGTAGTAAAACTATCTATGATCCTGTACCAGTTGAGAAGAAAAATGGTGATGACACCTCTGAAGAAGAAATAATCGAAGAATATGAGGAAGAAGTTATTGCACCAGGTGAACAAGTAACAAAAACAATTGTTAAAAATGTACAAATGGTAAAAGAAGAGAAAAGTGAGTATTTCTTTCATAAAAAAAGTGATAATTTCAAATTTATAAATTATGATGCTTTATTATTTTTAATATTTACAATTTTAACTATATTTGTATGGTGCTCTTACTTTTGAAAAATAAAGACAAAAAACAAAGTATTTTAAGTATAACAAATTATAATGCTGTAGAGAATAGAAAGCAAAGTATTAAAATGTTTAATTGTGTATTTTTTTTTGTTTAAATATTAAAAAAAAAATAATATTATTAAGTTAAATAAAATATAATTTATAAGAACAAAAACAAATGCTTTACTTATTTTTTTGTCAAATACTAAGGTATGCTCTTGCTATATAACAGTTTTAAAATCCAAATCAGCTTAAATAAAAATTTCTGAATTTACCAAATTTCGATATTTAATTTGAAGCTTAATTTATTCTAAATCAAACTCAAGGCTAATCAAATACAAAAATTTTACCCTTTTATTTATGACTGGGCTTATCAAACTTTTAATTTAATGCTAAATTCTGCTAATAAAAGAAGTATGCTAATAAAAAAAAAAACATTTTATACGTAAGTTGTACATATTTTTAATAATAATTTTCGTTACTTTAATTTAAACAATATTTTAACTAAGTAATTTTATCTGAACTTATTCGATCAGTGACTCTAATTTAATGTTTGTTTCAATACTAATATTATAACTAAAAAATTCTATATTTAAGTTTTTCGTTTTTTCTAACAACATGTACTTTAATTATTTACATGTGGTAATAGTAAAATATTCAGTTATATTTATTAGATAATATATAATTATTTTCTTTTAATATTTACAGGAGAAACGTTCGAAAGAATCACAACTGGTTCTGTCGTTGTTTCTGATATCTCAGAAAAGAAAAAGGGAAGAAAAGCTATCAAAAATTAAATTTAAATAGAAACCAGAAGAAAATTTAAGAAAAAAGTCTGATGTGTTTGCTAAAATATCTAAAAACTAAAATATATAATTATAATTATATACATGCATATTATAATATGTACATAAATATATACATACATACATGTATACAGGCGTTATATAAAACTATTGTATACATTTTTTTGTTTAATTTTTGTTTTATTTTTGCTTGTTATATTCTCAAATTGTGAACATAAAGTTACTATTTATTTAAACATAAAATTATTTAATATGAAAATGAAAAATATTTGATCAAATTAAAAATATTGATACTCGTATAAATGTTTATTTAGATGCACAAATTATTTGTTACAAAATATCATTTGAAATATATAAAAATAATCACTGTTTTCCTAATTATTTATTATACTAACAAATAATTGTAATATTCATTGCATTATAACTCTTTTGTTTTCTTCTTGCATTGAGCATGAAGTCATATAGTTAATCTTATTATTATTAACCACATAAATATTTATTAATTTGTTATTTAATTAGTTCTGGTATTCATATTATATATTATTCCTTATCAGTATAAAAATATAAAAATAATAAAAAAAAAAAGAAAAGAATTTTGGATATTTATTTTTCTATAATTTATTTAAATTTTTCATACTATTTTTTATCTATACAATTGTTTATCAGCATATATACACATAAATATGAAATATATAATATTATACAAATTTTTGTATGTTAAGCTTAAATAAAATGAAAAAAAAATGTAGTATTATGTTTATATATCATTCAATTTCTATGAGTAGTGCCTCCTGATAATAATACATCACACATTTCAAGTTTTACAGGCATCTGGGAACTAAAATATAACTTATTTTTTAATTTAACACAATTTATTTAAAATACAATATATAAAGAATAGCATAATTTTCGTATTTCAGCACATTCGGATCGTTTAAGACAATTATTTAGCAGCATTTTATTAGAACTTTTACGCTCAATCATTAAAATGTTAATAAATAAATTCTCTGCCAAAATTTTTAATACAAAAAAAACCCTCTATAATTTTTGATATTATACACACACATAGATGTCTTTTAAAATGACACATGAATTTCATATTTTATAAGAATTAATTTGGATTAATTGCTTAATATAGTTTTAAAAATTAGTAAATATAACATTAAAGAAACCTATAATAAGAAAACTCAATATAAGAGCTATCAAAAAAGAATATTAGGTCTTTTTACGAAGTGTAAACTAGGTGAGTCTGTAAAATTTACGAATTACTTTTAATTTCATAAGAACAATCGTAAGAATAAAAATTACTTTTTCTCTTCAACACTCTTCTCTTCTTGCTTTTATTAAAAACATTTGAAAATGGCTTGATAATAAATTGAGGAAGCTATCTTTTCAAGTCTTTTTTTAATTAAATTATAAACTTCAAATTGATTTATTAATCATGATTATTCATAATCAAAAATAAAAAAAAATAAATTTAATTTTTTTTCAATTTTTATTTTCTTTTAAATCCTTAGTATTACAAGAATGCTCCATTTGTATTCATCGCTTATGTTTATGCTTATGTCGATCATTTTTATATCTGGCTGGTGAAGAACTTTTATATTTTGGAGAAGTTTCCCTTCTATATTCAGTTCCATGAGACTTACGCGATGATGATAATCTTGAAGGTGATGGAGATCTAAATAAACCAAAAAAATATCAACCACCATTTTAATAAAAAAGAGATAAAAAAAATTTATATAATCTAAAAGAAAAACCTTTGTGCACGTGGACTTGCATCATATTTGGATGATTTTAAATAAACATCCGATGGAGATATTTCTCTATACCGTTTAGGTGATTCAGATTCACTACGTGATCTATTTCGTTTTGGTTTAATGCGATTTGAAATTGGTGAAGAATCACGATACTTTGTGGAATATGGGGATCTAGATCGACGCTTATTTCTTGGAACTGGGCTTGACGTCCTTTCTGATGAATAATTTGAAGGCGACCTTTTAGAACGCTTCGATTTTTTTGATGTTATTCTGAATATTAAATTATTAATATATTAATAAAAATTATTTTCTTATAATAAAGAGCTTACGACTCAGAGGGACTTGGACTCCTTTTTGAAATTTTCGGTGAATCATATATTTCCTCTCGAACAACCTTCAAAACCAAATTTTATTAATTCTTGAATAATTTTACACTATGTTATTACCTTTTGTTCCTTTTTTAATAATTTTCTTCTATAATGATCAATTTGTTGTGACATCGACCATCCAGTTTTCAATTCTCGTTGTCCTGATTCCAATTCGTCTTGATATTGCATTATTTTGACCTCTATTTCTCTTAATTTAGTTCTCTTTTCTTCATCATGTTTTTCCAAATTATCCTCGCTTCTTTCGTCAGAGTCGTAAAATTTTGGAGGTTCTGGCGCAACAGGATCTAAAGTATCCCACTTGCTGGTTGTAATTGCCTGGGCTTCTACTTGTTCCGGATCAACAGTTTCCCATTTCGAAGGAATGAAACCGCCAGTTTTATTTTTTGAATCAGAATTATCCTCGAGTGGCACTCCATCAATGTCTTCCTCTAGAGGAACTCCATCAATATCATCTTCGTCGTAGTCCATATCTCTGCTTTGCTCTTGAATTCGCGTTGGAGATGCACTTTTTATTGACTCTTGAGGTAGTCCTCTAAGCATTGCGCTCTTTAGTAAGGCAGCTCCATCCAATGGAATTCTAAAATAAAGGTAAATTTTAGTATTGTATTATTAACTTCAGCAAGTACTTTAATGATTGATAAATTTAATACCCATCGAGCTCTTCATCTTCCTTTTCATCACCCGACAATGGTGCGCTTTCTACTTCTGTTTTTTCAACATTCTGAATTTTGTTACAAATTAATTAAATGTTGCAAACTATCAAAAAAGTTACCTGTTTTCCCAAAAAAATACTTTTCAAATTAGACAGAAACTCTTTAGGATAAACAGTCCAGTCTTCCCACGCACTGATGACGTTTAATACACGAGATTTAAATGCTTCACCTTTTAAACGGCTTTCTATTGACATGTTATAAGAATGAATGTCTTTGAAAATATCTACTAAGTTTTTCTCCATCCTACAATATCATTTTTGTTAATTGTTAAAAGATTTACGCCGAAAATTTATGTCAGCTTACGATTTCCTGAAGAAACTTGCGTTAGAAACTTTTACTGTACAATTATGCAAAATGTCTGAAATAAGATATAAGCGAGCAATTTTTTTACTCATCAAAGTGCTCGGATTTGATAAAGACTCAGCGATACATTCACAAATTTCATCGGCTGCTTCTGCATGTTCAATGCAAAAGATCATGGCGTCACCTATTTTATTCCTCTCAGGTGTTAAATATCGTATAAGATCTTCTAAGCGGTCCCTCTGACTGAAACATATTTCAAATTAATTTAGAAAATAATACGAAGACTTAAAATGATTACGCATTTGAAAGAGCACCCTTATTCATCTCGGATCCTTCTTCGTCAACTATTAATTCTTCTGGCATACCCTGCATATAAAAATTAACAGCTGGAGGTTTCCATATGGATCCCCCTAATTCGGTTGTGAAGTTTTTGTTATAATTTATAAGTTCTTATTTAATTTTTAGGAAATTTACCCTTAAACATTCGAAATTCTTTTTCTTTCCATTCAGTAGGTGTGTCTCCTTGTAGAAGAGAAAATAATTTCCAACGATAATAAATGTGCGCCGGGCTTTCATTGTCGAACAAAAATCTAAAATATATTCACTACTTGTACATATGCCTATAATTATAAGTTGGAGTTTATATTTACGTAAACATAGGGTTTTCCATTTCCTTGCTCATAACCATAGCTTCAAACATAGGGCCTTCTCTTATAACGAATTCGATCATTCGATGAATAAGACAAAGAAGTGGTCTGGAGAAGAATCAAAAGTTTTAGAAAAGAATTTTACTTTTTTTTTTTTAAATGCAAAATGTTACGTACTTTTCATTCGGCACCACGACTTTAATTACTGAATTATACAAAATTTTTTCCATTTGTTCTTTTTTTTCCTCATCATCTATATATTCCTTGTAATTTCCGCCAGGTACATTATTTATATCAGCAGCAGCTGGTTGAGCGTTGAATGGAAGACCGGACGGTGGAGGCGGCATGGTATATTCTAATAAAGCTGGGGGAACGTAAATTGGAAATGATAGTATAGGAACAGATTTTCCCCAACCAAGACGCATTTCGTAACCCATTACATCGCGCCCGTTCAATGTCTTCAATGCGCGCTCAGCATCTTTCCGATTCATGTACGCAACAAAACCACAATTCCGTCCCCTGGATCTTTCTTCTTCTGACCTTGGCCACATTATTTTAATACTCGCTAAAGGACCATATTTACCAAATAGTTCCATTAGTTGTTGCTCGGAAATCTAAAGTTAAAAGTAATTTAATTAAATATTATGATAATTTTTTGTAATTGAATTTTACTTTAGGATTTAAGTTTCCTAAATATAAATTCGTAGTATTTGGATCCCCATTGTCAAACGATCCAGATTCTGCGGTCTCTTTATTAGATTCAACGTCGTGAGTTTGTGCAACATGTTTTGCCATATGTTTATATTTATGACGCTCCTCACGTTCTTCTTGAATCCTAAAATTATTTAACACTTATTTCTGCTATGATAATATAAAATTTTTGACGCCGTACTGTCTTAATTCTTCTTTGAAAAGCTCTAAATTGCTTTTCTTCTTTTCCTGTACTTTTTTTTTTAAAGTTAAGTTTTCTTTTTTTGCTTCACTAGAAAGCATTTTGGCATATTCTTGTGCTTTATCAGCGGATGATTTGTCATCACTTAATTTGGAACCCGGTTTATAAAGTTTTCCCTTTTCTCTGTTATCCTCCTCTGTTATTTAAAATATTTAATTAAATTTTCAAAAAATGAACATTAAAAAAACTTACTTCTCGATCCAGCATCATATGTTCCAGCTTTTACCCATATTTTTGAGGAGGCAGTTGGAGCTTCTTGGAACGTCTCCACAAATTCTTTAAAAGCCTTAAAAGAAATTTTTAATTAAAGTAAACAAAATTTTGCAGTAGGTTATAGTTACATGAGCTGCTAACTCTTCCTCTTCTTTTTTTCTCAATTCTTCTTGCTCTTTTCTTGTAAACGCCTTTTTTATTCCCATAGCCCCAATCGCAAAAGCCTGAAGCTTTTGCTCGGCGATCTTCTGAAATTCGTTTGTAGAATTGGTCTGATATTTTTTATAAAAATTTAGTTAACTTACTTTCGCACTCATTTCGCACAAAGAATTGTGATGAAGTATTTTTAAAACAAATTATTTAAAATCACATAAATTATTAATTTAATTATAAATTAATTTCAATTATTATATATAAGTCAGTCGAGTCGAGATATAAACACAAAAATTATTTCAGGTTTCTCCAAATATTAAATTTAGACAGAAACTAACCAAATGTCACATTCAATATTCACAATGGATAAATATTAATTTCTCGGATTTTTATATTAACGACAAGGAAAATTTTTTAGCAGCGCAACTAGCGAAACACTAATTCGTGTACACTAATTTATTGTTTACATTTACTATTAAGGTTAAAGTTATTCAGCTACTACTGGGAAAAATGCCATTTGTACTATTCAGAATTAACTTTCTAAACAAATTGAACAACAAACGCTCAATAATTAAAAATTTATCATTTAAATGTTATATTATATTTGCTCATAGTATTATTTAAATTTTAATTGATTGTCTATAAAAAAATATTAAAAATACATTAAACATTAAGAAAATAAAATTGTCATAATGTAATTTAATATTTTAGTAAAATTTAATTTTTCAAGTTAATCCAATATTAGTTTAAATTTTATAATTTCTACAGCATTTCGCTTGTAAATAATAGTAATAAAAAATTTAGTCGTTTTTGTGTTTCGTTAGAGACTTGAGAGTAACCCCTCCAACTGGTCTAAAGGTTTGAAACTCAACTTTAAATCGTCTAAACAGTTCATTGAAAACAGCATTGCGCAAAACAAATAAATTTGAAAGATAAATGGAATAAGTAACTTTTCAGAAGGTGACAGTAAACTAATTTACCGATTCCTTTAGTACTTCTTCGTTTGTGACGTTTCGATGTACTAAATCGTTATATTTTAGTGAAGGCACTCGGAGGGAATAAAATTCAGGTTTAGTTTTAAAAACAATCAATTACAACCATTGGCGCTGTATCAGTATATTATATACCCAAGCCAAAACTTGAAGTTTAAGATAGAAAATTGCAATAATTAATGTGTCATTGGTAAATAGTTAAAATCTTTAATAAATATTTCAAATTCGATAACAGACTAGTTTTAATAAAAATAAAATGACTAGCTTAGAAAATGATTTAAGAATAAAAAAAATATGTAGATTTTGCCTTAATCAGGATGAGAAATTGTTGACGAACCTCTACTCGTAAGTTTTGTTCCAAGAGAAAAACATCTCAACTTCTAACAGTTGAAACTAAATGTTTTTCTAAAAACCATTTTTTAATTTTAATTTGCTAAAATTAACTGCATAATAAAAAATACAATTGCACAAATAATTTCAGACGGGAGAATCGCTTAAATAATTCAGCTCCTCTACCTTTGCAAGTCATGGCTTGTGTTTCTATCGAGGTAAGTTTTCAAAAAATGATAACAACACTGTTTTGCCTAGTATACTTATACATGTGTAGGCTTCAAGCTTGTTTATAACGAATTCTTACAATAAAACATTTTGAAATTTAGGTTTTTACAAACGATGGCATGCCTAGTACAGTTTGCGATATATGCAGGATGCTAATGGAACATTGTTATCGTTTTAAGCAAATGGTAAGATAACTAAACGATACAAAATTGTTACAAAAAAATGAAATTCGAATACAATTTTAGTGCAAAAAGGCAGATACCGCTTTAAGACAGTACCCTTTAACTGGAAAGTGGCCACCAAAACTTGACCATCCTAAAGTACCTGACGAACTAGTCAACTTTTTATATCCAGAAATTGATTTGGGAAAATCGGAACAAAAATTTTCAGAATTCACAGTAGTAACTTCGCCTGAAAAACCTGAAAAACAGAAAATGCATAATAATGGCAAATCGTCAAACGCTCCGAAACAAAAATTGTTAAATAAAAATCCAGTTAAAATACTAAATAAGGATGTTTCAGTGGCAATGGAACCAGTTTTTAGAAAGCCTGTAATTAAACATTCAAGCGATGGAACTGTAGAACTTATTACAGAAATTATTGATACTGGAGATTTTCAAGAAATCGATCCAATCAAATCCGCAGAGCCTGTAAAAACAAATGTTTTTCCATGTTCACATTGTGACAGATCATTTCCCCTACGTCAGCTTTTGGATATTCACATGGTTAACCACAACCGGGAAAGGAATTTTCAATGTGAAGATTGTGATAAAAAGTTTTTTACGAAATACGATTTGGGAAAACATTCACTAATTCACTCAAGTATCTACATCATTTTTCATGTTTAAGTTTAGATTACCTTTCTTTTGAATTTAATTTGTCTTGTAGATGAAAAACCATTTAAATGTGTCGTTTGTGAAAAATCATTCACAAGAGCAACACTCTTGCTGAGACACGAAAAAGTTCATACGGATGTTCCGAAATTTTTATGCGTTCATTGTGAAAAACCATTTATTTCAAAAGAAGTTTTAGCGAAACATACGGAACGTCACAATAAAAAACGACCATTTCCTTGCAAAATATGTAAAGCATCATTTGCATTTAAACAGGGTATTTTTGTTAATAATAAAATTTTTTATTTATATTCAACTCACTTTTTGACTATTGCAGGTCTTGAAAGGCATGAGAGTGTACATGCTAAGGAACAACCATTTCCTTGTCAATATGTAAAAAAGAGAAAACTTTATTCTGATAAAATTATTTATGTTTTTTTTTTTTTTTTAGTGCAATTTAAGTTTCCCAACACCAAGCAAATTGGCGCGTCATCTCACAGCTCATGCGGGTGCTAGACCATATCCTTGTAAAATTTGCTCTAAAGCTTGTAAATTTGTCTATTAAAATATAACAAAACATAGCTCTAACAAGTTTCTTTTATAGATTTATTGAGTCATCATCTCACCCGACATTTAAGATCTCACAGAGAAGGAGATGTTAACTTTAAATGTTATGACTGTGGTAAAAGCTTCAACTCAAGAGATAATTTGATTTACCATTCAGCAGTACATGCAACACAAAATTTGTTATGTCCAATTTGTAAGGAACAGTTTGAGGACGTGGACTCTGTAACAGATCACATCAAAATGCATGCAGTAGGGGAACAATATGCTTGCGAGTATTGTGACTTAATGTATGTCTTTCGTAATTAAATATGTAGCTTGGTTTTTTATTAAAATAAATAAAATTTCATTTTATATCTAACAGTTTCATGACACAAACCAAATTAGAAGGCCATTGCAATAGTGATCACGCTGAAGAAATAGCGGTTTATGCGGAGCTTGAAAAACCTAACATTAAAAATGAAAGTGCTCAAGAAGAAACTGGTGAAATTATTCAGGAATTTGTAATTGAAGAATATGACGTTAATTTATTGAATGAAGATCAAATTATCAAGGAAGAAATTATTTTAGGTATATGCAACTAAATTTAAAAAAATATATTTAAAAAGTTATAAAATTAACCGAATTTTTTGTTAATTAGAAAATGATATTATTTCGGAAATCGCTCAATTAAATGAAAAAGGAAAAAAGAAAGCAAAAAATAATGAACAAAAAACTAATAAAAATGTTAATAAACGGACCTATTCGCCTGATTTTAATTTGGATGACTTTACGGAAGAAGAATCTGTGCTTTTTGAAGAATTAATTCAAGAGCAACCACCAAGCAAAATTTTCTTAAATGAAAGTGAAGAACAAGCAGGAATTGATACTAAGAAACCAAAAACACAAGAAAAACGAAATCCTAAACCAAAAATGAAGCAGACGACACTAACTGCTGTTATTGAAAATAATCCAAATACTACTGTGCATAAAAAAGAAAAAGATTCTGAACAACCTGTTGTTGAATTTATAAAAAGCGAAAACCCCGATAATAATTCAACAAACAAAGTAAAATCTCTTACAACACAAAGATCGAATAAAACTCTGAATAAATCAAATGAAAAAATAAATATTTCGGGAAAATCAAATTCAGAATTACCAAAAATGATCAAAATCGGTAATAAACATATTCAAGTAAAACAAATTAATTTAACAAAAGCGCAAGAAAAATCGATTGCAGAACAAGGAAAAATTAATTTTAATAAAGATAGAAAAGTGGTTTCAAAACAAGATACGAATAAAAAGAAAGTTATTAGAAATCCATAAAATTCGTCTCCTTAAAAAATAAAAAAAGAGAATTATTACTTGTATGAAGAAAGCAAATAAGGTAACGAATATTTAAAATTAATATCACTTAGTAAATAAGAATAATATTAACATATATACTTTATGTAAAATAAATACATATGAATTACATTTTAAGTTGAACAATCATTTAAATAAATAAAGAAAAAAAAAACCTCAAATTTTTAGTTTCAACTCTTAATACATGTAATAAGCTTCATACTTCAATACAACTTTAATTACACAATTCAAAAAAATTTAAACACATTAAAACTGGAACGCTGAAAATTTAAAAAAAAAAATAAAAAAGCCATCTTCTTTAATTAAATACTGTCATTTTTATATTTTCTTAAATTTTAATAGTTCATTTTTACATAGATAATTCTATTATTTATATATATATATATTTTTTAAAAGATAACTAAATATGTTTAAGTTTCAATCTTGTTTCCTCAACGATCAAAATTATTTTTAAATTTTATTTTTTTTTTTGTTTTTTATCTTTATGTATTGAAAAGTAAGCAAAGTTTTGGCCTCTACATGTTTTAACAACATTAGTTAATTTCTCAATAAAGTTTCTTTTATCGAAACAGTAACGTTTTTTAATTATTTTCTTTTTCACATTAATACTGTTTTTATACAAAAACGCGGAACGAAATTATTGAAAATTACAATTACATTACAATAGCTAACCGCTATTACAGCAATACGTGATAGTAATAAGTAAATAGTTATTTATTTTGTTGTTTATACTCATTAACTAAAATACAAGTATGTATGTAGTTTGTTTGAAAGTTATAATTATATACATATAAATCTTTATGAAAAAGGTATTTTAAAATTTTTTCTTACCGAAACGGTGGTAACACAATTACTCTTAACCAAAAATTGAATTGAGAAAAATAAATTTCTGAATAAATTTAAGCTAATTAAGGATAATATTTTAGCTCAGACCTCATAAAATAATTTAAGGAATAAATAGTAACTGTCTTTAAAGTTCTTTTCTACTTTTTCATTCTAAGATTCTTTTTTGTATTCGTCGAATTAAAAAAAATTTTAAAATAAAAAAAGAAGCATAAATCTACAAGAAATGAGAATTAGTGAAAATTTTTAAAAATTTATATTAAAATAAAAAATAAATAAATATAAAAAAATTCATTTCTATCTCATTTTTAATTTTCGGGAAAACTAAAAAATTTTTATAATTAACTTTTAAACATAATATAGCGAAGCGACAACCAAATTGTGAATACAATATTAATATTAGAATCTTATTTTTCTTCAAAATTCGAATGATCATTTGTTTGAAGTGTTTAGACAATCTAGTAATTATCTTTCAATTTCAAATATTCGATATCAAAAGTTCAGTATAAAATCTGTTTTTTAATTAACTATTGAAACAGAACTAATTTGCATATAAAAAGATTTAAATAAGTAAATAACAAATCATATTGTTATTTAATGCATTTAATTAAATCAATTTTTTTCTTTTTAGAACGTAGTTTCCCTTTAACGTATATATCTTTTTAAATCAGTGATATATTTTATGAGATTTTTACGTCTTATATATGAATTATATATTAATAACCTTCTTTTACATTTAAAAAATAAATATGGAAAACTCTACACATAAAAAAAAAGCTAATCAAATAATTAAAAAAATAAACATTTTAAATAAATTATGTATAAATTTATACAACATAAAAATTTTACAATGCTAAATTTAATCCGGAAGCATATGAACAAAACTAACAGGAAACATTCCACGACGATGAGGGCTACCTTCGATAACACCCTCCATCCAATTTTCATCATCAGTTCTTTCATTTAAAACTATTAGTATTTCACCTTCTTTGAATTCTAATTCATCATCATTGTCTGCATTGCAATCGTATAACGCTCTACATCTTCGTAATCCAGACTAAAAAAAAAAAAAGGAATTAAGAAAAGACAATATAATTTAAGCATCGGTTGTTGTTATAAAAATCCTGATTTTTGATAAAACCACGTAGAAAAGCATTTATTTGATTGAACGGAGATCCCCCTACTGTACCAACCACTCTTTATATTTGTTTTTAATCAATTAATCAAATAAATTTGCAAAGCTTCAATAACACCAATGATGGAAATTCTAATGAACCGTGTTAACAAAAAAAAATTTTCTTAAAAAGTTAAAATAAAATTGGTTGGTACGATGAGGTCCTAGTGACACGAAGCAACAAGTGTAAAGCGGTTTTCATTTTTACTTAACCAATACGGCGGCTAAGTAAAAAGGATTTACTTAATAAGTTTTCACATAATTTCACACAGTTTAAATATTGCCATATCAGTAGAAATCATTAAAATTATGTTAGTATCAAAATTTTAGTAAACCGAAGAAAGACACATAATCCATAAAATTCATGTATGTGACTTGGAAAATTTAAATTGATTTTTGATAAAATTAATTTTTTTGAAAAGAAACCACTTACGTAATTATTGAATTGTTTAACTTTGGTATTTAAAATTTCGTCTGATGAAGCATTTGATTCGACAGATATATCTAAAGGGTTTGATGAGTTACTATCAACATTCCACGTTTCATAATCTGAGTAGTTAGCTGATTGATTTAATAACTGAAAGAATTTAATAAATATTAATTGTATGTAATGAAAATTGGTATTATAAATGGAAATTATTATATTCTCACAATTTTGTTAATTTTTCGAAATGTTCATGAAACAAAAAATTAGCAACGATTTGCTCTATTCAAATTTTATTGTTAATATGAACTCTGTCATTAAAAAAATTTTTTTTTTAAATTGATTATGCCTAATGCTATATGATTTGATTACGAAAATGCAAGGACAAAAGCAAAAATCTTAAAAAAATTATATAATGTATCGAATAATACAAAATTCAATTCTTACAAGCTTGTTAAATAATAGATTTTGCTTTTGCCGAACACAAAAAATTTAAAACAAACAATTACTTTATTTTAATTTCAATAAAAACATTAAAATTTTACTCTTCAGTAGCATTGCATAAGACTTTATTATTAGATCTCATTTAATACTACTGATTTTAATGGGTTTAATTTAAAATAACTTAACAAAATTAATTTTTAAACTTTTGTTACACACAAAACCAAAAAAAAAAAAACCTTTCTTAAATATACATAGTGTATATATATACAAAGTACATTAAACATATACCAAGTACGTATATTTAAGGACAAAATAAATCTACCAAATTTTTAGCCGCCATTGCTCTCAGCAATCGTTCTATTTTACGCTGTAATTGAAATAAAATATTTTATTGCCGCATTTTTTCTTAAAATAAAAAATTTTTTATTTTATTTATAACATTTTCTATAAATATAAGTATTTTAACTAAAAATACTTGTGTACAATTTTTTATAGAAATAGAGAATTAATTTGAATAAATTAAAAAATATAAACGTAACAAGAATTTTATTATTCACTCTTGATCTTTCTTAAATCATTTGACTTTTCAAATTGTGTCTAAATTCTAATTTTTTATTAATGCTAGGAACTTCAACTATATCAAAAATTATTTTATGACAATATTATTGGTTATCTTTTGAGAAAAAATAATAATAGAAGTTGCAAGATGTAATGATATTAACTCTCAAAACCATTATACTTTTTCAATTTTCATTTTCCCTGATTTTTTTTATCGATATTTTAAATGATGCTAAATTTATAACATTTTTTTTTATTTAAAAATAAGAAACAACAAACCTTTCGAGGCGGAGCGATCGGTCCCTCATCTAAGGAACTAATACTTTCGTTTGATTGTGCATTTGAAATCTCTTTGTCTAAAATTTATACATAAATGATCTCTTTAAGTTTTTTTACAAAAAAAAGAAGAAAAAATACATACCAGGTGGAGGACCTGGTGGAGGAATCTTAGGTCTTGGCATGCTTTTATCTACGGGTTTCAAACTAGGCATCTCGCTAGCAGGAGGTAAAACTAGTTTTGCTCCAGCTAGATGAATGTTACGATTTAGTGATTCACCGCTTGGAGATCTTTTATGACCAAAGGTTGTCATGGGTAGTATAGTATCTTGTTTTTCAAATTTTAATTGTTGATTAGCTATTAATAAAGGATCAAATCTTTCGAATGGTTTGTTATCACAATAATATGTTGAATTATTGACCCCGCCTCCCACACTATTTCTCGATGATGAATCAAAAGTTCTTAAATGAGGTAATGTACTATAATTTTCCGTTGGATTTTTATGATTACTTGTTCTGATATCATTACTATCAAAATTCTGTGAATTTCTTGGTGCATGTGGTAATGTTCCATAAATTATTGTATTAGTAGATGGTGGGGCAGGTGCCGTTCTTTTTTTTAAGGAATTCATATTTGCTAAAAAACAAAAGTTTTGAAAAACATATACAAAATGTTCTAAATACCAGTCTAAAATGTTCTAATATGTTTCATTTAAATACCAGTCGATGTCGACTTTCTTGTTCCCTGGTTTAAGGAGCCGCCCGAAATCAATTTTATGCTTCCGGAAGCTGAACTAGGACTCGACCCACTCCCACCAGTAACATATGGTCCGACAGACATATGTTGTTTAGGACTAGTACCACTTTGTATGCTGTATGGCATGTTTGAAGTTAAATTAAAATGTCTACTAGATGGACAACTTGAACTAGGACTAGAACCGCTTTGAATGGAATCACATGTTGACGAACGTGAGCGGAGTATTGGTGAATCCCCACCAGCAAAACTAGGTGGACGTGATCTTGATTTCTATAAATAAAAGTCGAAATAATTAATATGCATCAATATAAAATAATAGTTTCTCATACTTTTTCATCCACTACAGTATCATCATCTGAAAAATCAGTAGATCCATCGTCATTTGGAAGATTCCAATCAGTATTAATATGATCAAAAGCGCTCTTTTCTCTTCTAATAGCGCATTCAATCTAAAAAAAATATTTAGTTAATGGATTACAGCGACGCAACATTTTAAGAAAAGCTTAATTATATTCAAATCTTATATTTACCAATTCTACACAAGCATTATTTCCTACTTCTTTGGCAATTTCTAAAGGAGTTTTATTATGACTATTTTTGATTTCATAATCGGCACCAGAACGCAAGAGTAATTTTAAACACTCTCTTCTATCATGCAGAGCACACAAGTGCATAGCTGTGTTTTTACCAGTAACGTCTAGCGGACCAGGTGGGTTTGTAGCTTTATTTAAACCTTGTGTTGACATATTTTGTATTAAGAAATCCACTATATGCAAAGTTGAACCAACTTCACGTAAAATAGCTAAATGTAATGCTGTTTCGCCAGCATCTGATGATGGCAATGTGCATGTTAAATCAGCACCTTCAGCCCACACCTGCAACAGTTGACTCAAATCTGCATTTATGACAGCTTGTTCTAAATCACATCTTAAATCATTATCGTCAGCACAAGTTCGCATAACGTACCTCTTCGCAACATACTTTGCTCTTATAAAATCGTAGCGCTCTTCCCTAGAAATGAAAAAATTATCATACTATAACCAAAAAAAAAAATGAATCGCACATTGAGCTGTCAGGTCGTAGTTTTATTTTTCCTAAAGTGGCCTCCATAATTTCATTTAACGTATGATTTCCCATTGCTCTAGCAATTAGTAAATTAGCTGTTGTCAAGTTATCTAACGTTAAACTTTGTATTCGTGAGTGATGAACTCCTAAATCGCGATGCACACCAGAACATTGTATACAAACAAGAATACCAAAATTCAAACTTATCCATGTTACATCATTTTTAGATCCGCAGTCGCAACATTGATCGTTACCAGGAAGATTTTGAACATATCTTTAAAAAAAATATTAATGTAATCAATAAACTCCAATACATGTTAGTAAATATTCGAAGAACCATTTGTGCAAATCCATGTCAGTTATACTAACCTTATTACAGTTTTTTGCAATTCTACCAAACTCGGTGACATTTGAGGATTTGCATGTTGAAATGCCTTGGTTAAAGCTTTTTCCTTACAGTTAACTAAAACAGCCATCCATGCCTTTTGATCTGCTTCATCTTCTGCTTGAAAATGATATGGACGGTTATCTGTTAAAAACAAATCAATCTAAGCAAAATATTTATTAAAAAGAAAGTTTGAATATACAGCTTATTAAATCAAATCCCCTTTTATCATCTGGCACTGGTTTTATCTGACAGGTTAACAGATTTACTCGTGTTGGTGGTTTCGTTTCATCTGCATGACAAATATCTAAAAATCCATCGGCTGTAACCCGACACCTACGCTTTTGCCAAACTCTTCTCACCTTTCCTTCACTTTTTTTCAATAAATGGCCGGATCTTGTAATACCGTGATGTTTATCTCCTTGCAATTGATGCAAAGAATAGGCAGTGCCTTTGTCAGTAATAACATTTTCGACTCGTTCAAAATCAGGCGTACTTCGCAATAAAGTTTTTAATTCAAGAAGCTTCTTTTTGTCATCATCTTGATTTTGTTTTATTGATTGCAGTTTTACGCTAAGGTCGTCAATATATGTTCCAAAGTGTGCTATAGTCTTCAATCCATCCTTAAAATAGCTATTAATATATTCAGTAAATGTAATTTTGTTTTCAAACGTTTAAATAAAATATTTACTTATTAAGCGCATGATAATACTCAATAAAATGCTGCAATAATTCGATTCCAGTTTTAGTTTTGACCTCTTTGTATTTAATTAAATACTAAAACGATATTCTTGTAGGTTTTAAGTGTTTCACTCACATTAGAAAAAGACTAACCTCACAAGTTTGCAACTGGTAAATTTTTCGTTCTTTTTCCATTTCTTCGGCTATCTCAGCAGGATTAATTTCGGTTCTTACCATCCCTACTTCTTTTGCTTGAGCTTTTTTTTCCTTCTCTATTTTCATAAATTTAGATTCGTAATCTTTGGCTGCTTTCTCGAAGGGTCTTTTCATTTCTCCTTTAACTCCACGTAATTCAGATTTCAAAATTGTATCCACAGGAAACATCACTATGTTATTGATATTTTGCATCTAGTAATCAAAATTTAACGTAACAAAATTTTCATATTCAAAATAAATGGTTAATATTTACCAAAGTTTTCATCAATGCGCTTAATTCTTTTGTAACAACCGAAAATTTTAAAAACGCAGCACCTATATCTGGTTCCTCCTGGCTCAGGGCTATGCTTCCTAGTCTCTCCAGTGCCCGAACTAAACACATCTCATTATCAACATGAGCTGAAATATTTTTATTAAAATGAAAAATAAATATGTTAAGGTAAATCTATTACTGTTGCCAGAATGGTGGACAGCTTTGATTGCCTTTTTTAGTTTAGTTAATCCTTCTCTATCCGATTCTAATCTCTGCAAAAAAGAAAAAAGCATGAATTTACTTAAACAATTGTAGGTTTATATTAGTTGTAATATTATTATTTGCAGGTAGGTTGTTTGCACCTACCTATTTAAAAAAATATATTCAATCTGGTAAACAAGCTTTAAAAATAGAACAGGCAAGCAAGTAGTTGTTTTCCAATATAAATATTTATATACTTATATTTTTCTAAATATAAGTAGGTACTTACCTACATATATAATTATATCATTTTTTAACTTATGTGTTTCATGAACAATATAAATTTCATTCCCTTAAGTATTAATTGATTATGATTATTTAATTGGTTTAATAAAGCTAGCACCATAAAAATTTTGTGCTTATCATATAATAACAGCAAAATGTATTATACAATTTCTTGAAAAATTTTGAATTATCTATAGTGAGTATAATATACATATTTACAACACTTACCTATACCTACCTGTTATAGAAAGATTATTACCTTATCTATAAGTAATTGATTAAGAACATAGATATATCCCAAATCAAAAACGAAAATATCTCTATTGAAAATAATATCTGGCAATGGCTAATTTTTTACTTACATCTTCTAATGTATTGATTGTTTGACGACATTGTGGCATTCTAGAAACAAAAGTTGAGGTTGTCGGGGAATTATAATCTTCTCTAGTTTCTTCTACAAAGTCGGAAATTGCTATTAAGCCAGGCATTTTTGCTTTGTAACTTTTTCAACAAGTTGAGGGTATCTCAATTTCTTTCTTTATTGTCTGTATCCCTAATCTTACTATGTTTATACACTTCTCATTTTCATTTATTTTCTGTGAAAGCTAATAAAATTTAAGCGTCAATCTGTCACTTTAGTCACTCCTTAGATATTTTTTTATATGATTGAATTTCGTGAATCACACTTATGGAATTTATAAAAATATGTAAGCATAATGAACTTTTATATTGTTTGCACTGTGAATTTATTTTTCTTCTAGATTGCCACTTTAAATTTTCATACCGAAGTCATTTTAGCTCTCTAACTTGTAAAATTACCTTTATATCTGTTAGTACGTCATTTGTCACTATATTCAATTACATATTCAATTGAATTCAGTGTTACCTTCTACAAGAAAATAACAATAATTCATTTAAGACTTTTTGTTTTTGAAGTAACTACTTGGATAACAATTATATAATACAAGAATTCCTAACTAGTTTTAGGTACTGTTTACATACATGGCAAAACCGACGATATAACCTTAACCTGATAAAAATTGTATATGTAAACCCCGTTTGACATCAGATACCATGCCTGCTATCAAATAACAGAATTTACTCTATTCAACAAGCCTATTAAGCTTAGTAAGTCTATTCTCTTCTTACACTAGTAAGTCTATTTTCTATTCTTATCAGATTTACTGTTAGATTTTTTATAAGTAAAGTGACAACAATCAATAATTTGGAAAAGTTTTGAACTGCGGTCAGTTGATATTTTTTTTCTGATTATAAATTTTGTAGCAGATTTTTAAATTTTAACATAAAGTTTGAGCTTCAGATAATTTCGTTCTGGCATATTAGACTTTATCGTAAATTTAATCTTAGATTTTGCCCTTTATATAAACAGTAACTTTCAGTTAAACATCGCCTTTCCTTTTATTTATTTAAGGTGAAATTTTATTCATTGCTGCTTTAATTTATGCTTGGTGATTCCGGAAATTTGTGTGCTGCTGTTTTACAACGTGGAAAACTATTTTATTGAAATCATGCATCTCCTTTTCAATGTCAAAACATTATTGAATTATTTTCTTTGTTTAACAATAATAATTTGATATTGATATACTCGATTCAGTACTTACGTGAGTCTTGGCCTTTATATTAGAAACTTTATTTGACGTTTTCAATATTTGGTAATACTTAACTTGTTACAACTTTAACATAATTATGCCACCATCACTCAATCCAATAATCAAAATTTGACTTTTGCATTCAATTGAAGCACTTAATCACTATTTTCTGAATTTGTCTATTATTTTTACGTGGATTTTTAATTTTCAAATTTTTCAGTGGTAAGGCTAATATGTATAATAAGTATGTATATTTATTAAAAAGAAAGTCTAATAAAATAAATACAATGTAGTGAACATCAATATTAAACAATAAATTTTACGAAAAAATAATTTTGATAATGATATTTAATAAGACTCTTAAAAAATCTAAATTTAATTTTAATTTTTAAACTTTTTTAAAATATCAATATTTAAAATTGACAATGAAGATTGAAAGCTATTGAATCAGAGCCAATTGTATGCGAAATAATAATTTAAGTACACTAGATACGTACACGTTAAATGTCAGCAGAAAAGCTCGGAAATCGTGTGTTTTATAATTGAAAATAAGATTAAACTTGCATCAAGGTTAATTTCGTTATATATTGTAATTTGGTTTCAGATGTCTGAAGTAATTGCGAATCAAGTTCATTCTGAAGAAAATCAAGCAGATATCTGTGTGGTTTGCTTTAAAGGTGTAGATATTTACAGTATTGGCGAATGTGATCATCCTGTATGCTATGTAAGTCATTTCATATTTCAAAAACTCGTCCAACAAGTTATACTTTTGTCGCCTTCATATTTAGGAATGTAGCACAAGAATGAGAGTCCTTTGTCAACAAAACGAGTGTCCGATTTGTAGGAAATCACTTTCCAAGGTATATGTATAATATTAAAAATTTTTGAAGTAAAATTTTTTAATATTTTAAAATTGTAGGTAATTTTTACTCATAAGAAACAGAAATATAGAGAACTTGAAGCCAGTAATAGATCGGAGCATTATAATAAAAAGTACAAAATCGCATTTGAAAATTCAAAAATTCAAAATGCGTTCTATACATTGCTCGATCACCCATGTCCAATGTAAGCTACAACATAATCAAAATACAAAAATTATTAAAGAATACATAGAAAATATAATGAAACTTATATTTGCAGATGTAAGTGTTCACCATTTCATCATTTTGACGCACTGAAAGATCATGTACGTAAAGAACATGAACGTTTTTACTGTGATATATGCACAGAACATTTGAAAATATTTACATTTGAAAGGAAGTGTTATAATAGACATGATCTAGCAATGCACAGACGGAAAGGAGATATAGATAATACTTCACATAGAGGTCATCCTCTATGTCAATACTGTGAATGTAGATTCTTGGATCGAGATGAATTATTTAGACACATGAGAAAGGAACACTTATTTTGTCATTTTTGTGACGCAGATGGGTCAAATGAATTTTATGCTGACTACGAATCTCTGCGTGAACATTTCCGGAATGGTATTTTGTTTTGTCTGTTAAATAATACATATAAATTATTGATTTCTTTTAGAACACTATCTTTGTGAGGAGGGTGACTGCTCTCGTGAGCTGTATACAGGAGTTTTCAGGTCCGACATAGACTTGAAAGCTCATTTTGCAAGTGTCCATAGAAAATCTTTAAATAAGCAACAAGCAAAACACGCGAGGACTTTACAACTGGAAATTAGATTGGGTCATCGGGGGAGATCTTCTAATCAAGAAAATCAGCCTGGTGCTAATTTACATTTGAGGTAAATTTTAGTTTTAATTACAAGATTATTGTTGTATTTGTTGCATAAAATATTAAGAGATATTGAACTATTAGGAGATCAGATTCCAATGATAATATTGAAAATCAAGCGCCGCAACCTGCTCGACCAGTGGTCATTGCACCTCTCAACGAAGAGGAATTTCCTTCTCTAGGTGGATCAAGTAGTAATTCCTCGTCTGTTTCTTTAATGCGTCCTAATATGGCAAATATAAAAAAATCTGGTCCAGCTGGTCTTGCCAGAACTAAGGAAAATTTTCCAGCTTTGCCCATGAATGAATCAGGTTTATTATAATTTATATAAATTTCAATTTTGTTACAAATTTTCAGGATCTGAAATATTTTATTTTCAGTTACAAACAAATTAACAAATAATAATCACACACCTGCCAGTGCTGTTTTAAAAGGAAGTATAAAATCCAGTCAAAACAAATCAGGATCAAATGGAATGGTGATACATGTTTCCAATAGACCTAAGTCCTCAAATTCAAAAGGTTTGGCGAATATCAAAGACTTCCCAGCCTTGCCAAGCCATTCGAAACATTCTCAAATTAGAGAACCTGAAGATGACTTAAATTTAGGTCCATACAATAACTTCAATTCATTAGTTTTAGCAAAACATCGCGCACTTGTTGACAACTATGTGTCTGTAATAAATCCAGCTGGGAATTCAAAAATACAAACGATAGCCGAAAATAGCACAAAACCAAAAAAAAATAAAGAAAACAATGACATACAATTAAACAGTAATGATTTTCCTGCTCTAAGTTCTAAACCGGGAAACAATATCATTCAAGTAAATTGGGTTAAAACTCCCTCACAGAATGGTTTGGACCGTAAGTCTAAAATAGCGCCAGCGCCTGTATTGCCAAATAAAACGGAAAGTACGAAGAGACGAGAACGGGAAATAGTAATAGGGGACATGAATGACATCAATAATAAAAAAAAGAACAGCAAAGGTTCAGAAAGTAGGAAAGCTAACGAATCCAAAAATTTGAAGTTGCTTGAAATGAAAAAAAATTTAGAATCCAGCTCCAGAAAACTTAATGACAATGAAATAATAAAATCAACAAAAAATGTTTCGGATAATTTTAGCAATAATGTAACAAAAAGTCTAAATAACGACTCTGAAAAACTTCAGGTCATAAAACCTCCTCCAGGTTTCAACAGTATAACACTTAACTCGGTGGCAAAACCAACATCATCATTAACTTTTACTACTTCACTGGGAGAAAGTTATAGCATTATACCCAGTAATATATATACACCCCCACCAAATGCAGATGCTAGAAATAAGGTTAGTTTTCATTGATAAAATACTAAATTTGGTCTCAACTAGTTTGTTTCTTAAATTAGGAACTACCATTCCATTTTGAACAAGCTTTACAGACTGTGGAAGCATTTAACGAGTTTCGTAAAATATCTAGCGAGTTTCGTCAAGGGAAATACAACGCTGCAGCTTATTTTGAAGAGTGTCAAATAGCATTAAAAGATAAATTTAACGAAATATTCCCTGAACTTCTGGCGCTTTTACCTGATATAAGCAAGCAACAGGTACTTATTTTTAAATTTCAAATGCACATTTGTTTGTACATGTCACAAAAATTGTAGGATTTGTATTTAGAATACCAGCAATATCTCAAGAAAAATTCAAAAAAATTGCAAGAACACCAAAAATTGGAAATTTGCTATATATGCAAACAAATATTAAAGTCTTTTGATTTGGATAACCATATTAACACACATCAACTAAATTCAAATTTTCCGAAATTATAAGTTGATCAAATATACAAATGTAAAATTTAAACCGAAGGTGCTATTTGTTTTGTAAATTTTTAATATTCAAGTCATCTAATTTAAAAATTAACAAAAGTTGTAATATAAAACAAGAAATTAAAAGTATTTAATTTTCTTTTTAAACCTATAGTATAGGTTATAATAATAAATAATAGCATATAATTTATGTATCTGACTGTTAATATGTACATTACAATGTATGAGTCTCGGCAATTTTGAATGTATTTGGAAATGTAGGAGTTTTGGAACGGGTCATCGGGGAACCACTAATTGATTAGCGATTCCAGTTATATACATATATGTATTTCAAATATTAATCATACATACATACATTTGTATATTAGTACATGTTTACTGTATACTTTCGTATAGGAATATAATCATCATGAGCTTTTCTTATCATATTTTTCTTACTCTTGACGAAGAAAAATTGTATAATGTAGACAACTCTTTCATTCATAAAAACCTCAAACTTGTCATCTACATACCAGGTAACCAATTTTTGTATTTTGTGAAAAAAAAATTTCTGAAATCAATTTCGAAACTTGAAATTCGATAACGAAAACCGAAATATTTTTCAATAATATGCCGCTATTTCAAGTGAAGCAGTAGAATATTGGTGATTGTGTATATCTATACTCACATCATATAAAAATATTATATTATAAACATATTATGCTATAATCATTAATTTTCTTCACATTCAATAAGAAAAAAAGTACGAAAATGAATCGTCTAATTTTTATTGCGTGAGAAAAGGGGGAATATCATCTATTAACTGCAAATTCACTTTTTTTTTTGTATTGATATTGATATGACTTATGAATACCTTTGCTCTGTAGATAAAAATCACTTGATAGAAGATACTTTATTTGTTCTTTTAGTTCGAATTTTGTAAAAATTTTTTATAGAATTTATAGAATTTTTATTTAAAATGTGTATGTATGTACATTGTGCAGATGTTCAAGCTTCTTGTTTTTCAAGAGATGAAATTTAAGTGTGTAAACGTCCATGGATTTTGTATGATAGAAAATAATAAAATTTATCAAACAAATTCAATCAATAATGTTTGATGTGCGTGAAAACGCTGACTGGTTTTAATGATCTGAATGGTTTTATGGGAAGTGACAGTCTTTCAACCAAAATGTGTCTGTAAGTATAAATATTATGGAATCGGTATTAAATATAATTTTGATCTCGACCGTTACCGCGCTGCGGTGTCTTTAATCATGACAGTCGAGTGTAGCATAACACTGACATAACATTATTTTTGACAGACTAAACAAATGTCTTCTAACTTTCAATCACCGCTTCATCTATAAAAAAAAGTCAAAATCGCAGGGTTGTTGTAAGAGATCTTTAAGAATATTAAATTACTGATACTTGTAGCAAAGGAAATCAAAATATTATAAATCATCATTTATTAGGTTAATAAAGTTGAAAATGAGATATTTGATATAATTTATAAAGAGAAACAAATACGTCCATTAACAATCCCCTGGACATATTTAAAGCATCTGCTGTAGAACAAGAATTTTTGTGTTGAAGCTATTGTCATAATCGAATAAAAAGTGGATTTACACATTTTCGAACAACTTAAAAGGGAAATTAAAAAAACACTGTTTTTTCACGAATTCAAAAGTCATTTAATGTAATATAAACATTATATTTTATACTTTTTATCAACTGCAAACGTGAAAAATAATTGAAAAAAAGGAGAAAAGCAAAAAAAAAAAAACAAAAATACGAAATACAGAGGTATAAAAATAGTGCATATTTTCCATTGTGATTTTTTTAGACTATGTCGAAAAAAATTAGGGTCTCTCTAGATGACATTGGAAACAATATAATAAATAAAAAGGAGGGAAATAAGTTTTTTAATCGCACCAACAATAATTTGAATAACTCTCAAATGCCTTTTGGAACTCCTAATTGCGATAGAAAACCAAACTTTTCAATGGTAAATTCACATCATGGTGACCAAGGAACTCTTTTAGCGAAGGTCTCTCAAAATATATCATCAAAACCTGGTGACGTTAAGAAAATAGTTATAAAAAATTTCAAAAGTAAGTTAATTTGCATGTAAATCGAAATTTAAACATTTTTTGATTGATTTCAGCCAAACCAACTCTTCCGGATAATTATTCTGAAAAAACATGGGAAAAATTACAAGAAGCGGTTGTAGCCATTCAAACATCGAAACCGATAGCCTATTCTTTAGAAGAATTATATCAAGCAGTTGAAAATATGTGTAGTCATAAAATGGATGCCCAATTATATTCAAAATTGGCCGCATTAACAGAAAATCACGTTAAATCTAATATTGAGCCTTTTACAACTAGTGAAAGTATGGATAAACTGGTATGGATAGCAATTGAAAATATGTCGAGGGAATAGTAGGGAGTTATGAAGTATTTAATTATGTTTTAGGTTTTCTTAAAAAAGATAAACGGTTGGTGGCAGTCATTTTGTCAACAAATGATAATGATGCGAAGCATATTTTTATATCTTGACAGAACTTATGTTTTGCAAAATCCAACAGTTCATTCTATTTGGTACTAAATATCTTTTATTTTAAACAAGTTAATATTTTTATTATTTTTTAAGGGACATGGGGCTGGACCTCTTTAGAACACATATTGCTTTAAATATTTTGGTTCAGAAAAGAACTGTAGAAGGATTATTATTGCTCATTGAAAAGGAACGAAATGGGGATGCGGTTGATCGGGCCTTATTAAAAAGTCTTTTGCGTATGTTGTGTGATTTGCAAATTTATCAAACAGCTTTTGAAGAGAAATTTCTGGTTGCAACTAAGCAATTATATCAAGCTGAAGGTCAACGTAAAATGCAAGAACTTGAAGTCCCGGAATATCTAAAGCATGTTGACAAACGTCTCGCTGAAGAGAATGAACGTCTTTTATATTATTTAGACTCAAGTACAAAGTACCCGTTAATATACACTGTAGAAAAAGAACTTTTAGCGGAGCATTCAACTGCAATACTACAAAAGGGCTTAGATAATTTACTTGAGGAAAATCGTTTGCAAGACTTACAACTTCTTTATAATTTGTTTAGCAGGATCAAGAATGGAACCACTGAATTATGCGGAAATTTCAATGGATACATAAAAGTAATTCATAAATAAATTAGTTTTTTCAATATTTAATTGTATTTTTAACAGAAAAAAGGTCGTACAATAGTAATTGACCCGGAAAAAGATAAAAATATGGTTCAAGATTTATTAGATTTTAAAGACAAAATGGATGTTATAGTTCATACTTGTTTCGAGCATAATGAAAAGTTTTTAAATTCGCTGCGAGAAGCTTTTGAATATTTCATAAATCAAAGAGCTAATAAACCCGCTGAACTTATTGGTAGAATATAAAAATTATTTTTCCCATTTGATATAGTTTTCTTAATTTTATTGTAGCTAAATATGTGGATATGAAATTACGAGCTGGCAATAAGGAAGCTACCGAAGAAGAACTTGAACAAATTCTTGATAAAATAATGGTTTTATTTAGATTTATTCATGGCAAGGATGTATTTGAAGCTTTCTATAAAAAGGTTTGTATTGAGTTAAATTATAGAAATTCTATATGAATTGTGTTGAAAAAATAAACCAAGATTTTACCTCGAGGAATTTTGATTCAAACAGTAGGAGGAATGTAGTAATTGTTAATTATTTATAGGATTTGGCGAAACGACTACTAGTTGGAAAGTCAGCTTCTGTGGATGCTGAAAAGAGTATGCTGTCCAAATTAAAACAAGAATGTGGTGGGGGCTTCACGTCTAAACTAGAAGGAATGTTTAAAGACATGGAACTTAGCAAAGATATTAATATCGCATTCAAACAGTATGTCTCAAATACTGATAAAAAATTAACTACAATAGATTTGACCGTAAATATTTTGACCATGGGTTATTGGCCAACTTATCCACTAATGGAAGTAACAATGCCTCCACAACTTGTCAAATTACAAACAGTTTTTCAAAAATTTTATTTAATGAAACATAGCGGGCGAAAATTACAATGGCAACCCACTTTAGGACATTGTGTTTTGAAAGCTCAATTTTTGCATGTAAAAATTTCGCACATACATTTCAGCAAAGATATTAAATAATTACATTTTTAGGGTCCAAAAGATTTTCAGGTCTCTTTATTTCAAGCTCTAGTGTTACTTTTATTCAATGACAAGACTCTCCTAAGTTTTGAGGAAATAAAATCTGCTTGCAACATAGAAGTATCAAAATTATAATCGTATAATTTCTTAATTTTTCATAATTTTAAAATTTAATAGGATGGTGAATTAAGACGCACCTTACAATCACTAGCATGCGGAAAAGCTCGTGTAATAACGAAAATACCTAAAAGCCGTGAAGTTGAAGATAAGGATCAATTTCAGTTTAATAATGAATTTACAAATAAACTTTTTAGGATAAAAATTAATCAAATACAAATGAAAGAAACGGTAAACTATAATAGATTATAATTTTATTTAAAAATATAGTTAATAATTTCTTTGAAAATCATTTTATTTATTATACAAATCTATTGCACAGACTGAAGAACAAAAAGCAACAGAGGAAAGGGTTTATCAAGATAGACAATATCAAATTGATGCAGCTATAGTAAGGATAATGAAAATGCGAAAAACTTTAAGTCACAATTTACTTATTAGTGAACTATACAATCAGTTAACCTTTCCTGTGAAAGTAAGCTATTATACTCAAACATACTATGCATAATTTTTTGATTTTTAAACATCGTCTTAATATTTTAGCCGGCTGACCTTAAAAAAAGAATCGAATCTTTAATTGACCGAGATTACATGGAAAGAGACAAAGATAATCAAAATCAGTATAACTATGTTGCATAAAAATCTTGAAAAGAAAGGGAACATTTAAATAAAGATTGAAAACAAAGCTGTAATAAAAATTTGAATCAAATCTTGTTCGAGAAATATAAGTTTTGTTTTATAAAAATATGAAATAATTAAAAATAAGGTATACATTTATTTTTTAATAATTAGCTTAAAAAATACTGATGAATAAATAAGAAAAAAAGAAAAGAAATCCCTTGAATTTTATAAGTACGTATGTACATATATTAAGAAATAATCCGATTTTTTTTACATATGAGTATGAGTATAAATATTTTTTTTAAATCTCAATCTACACGATTTTTCATATTTTATATTCAAATTCATATCTCCTTATTCTTAATAAATATGCTTAATGCAATCATTTTTATTGCATGATACAATTTCCAGTAACAGTAAAAAAATTATGGACTAATATTTATTTACAAACATAAAAAATTTTAAAATAGTGTGAATTAGTTGGTCAAGTTGATATTGAGCTCTTTCGACATTTTTTGCATATGCTCGTTATTGTTATCTATTTCCCTTATCAAGCTTTCTGATAAAGTTTTTGGGTTTACTTCTTTCCCTAGAAAGCCTTCAATCAGCTGTTTGCTTGGAATGCCTCCACCATGACTTAAACACTCTTTTCTATATTTTTCGCCAGCTTCTCTACTAAATGGGTCAGCTGAAAAATATGTTTGCCAAATCCAAGAAGCTACGGCCCTTGAAAGCAAATATGAATAGTATTTCGCACCATATCCGACCAAATGTGAAAACCTTAGTTGCCAAGCGGTATTTTCCACATAAGGTAAAGTATAAAATTGCTGTTGAACTTCTTTTAATGTTTCTGTAGTAGTGGATTTCTGTTGCTCAGGTAGACCATGATATCTTTGGTCTAACGCAGAATAAAAAATCTAAAACATTATAAAATAATGTTAAATGTAAATTAAATCAATTTATTTACAAACCTGTAGTTCGGTTTCACTTGCCATAAATAAATTTTTTGATGCACATAATCTCTGAATCATTTCTTCTGGCATGGGCTCTTTTGTTTGAAAATGTTTTGCAAAAGTTCGTAGTACCTTAAGAAACATGCTAATTATTTATACACAAAATTTTTAGATGAAATTTTTTTTAATATTCTTACCCTTGGATCTGATGCAAAATATTCCATTAAAACAGAAGGAACCTCGGCAAAATCTGTACTACACCTTGTACCTGTTACATGTTGGTATTCAGTTCTAGCTAGCATGGAGTGCATTGCATGACCCATTTCATGAAATAAGTTATCAACCATGGAAGGGTTTAGTAATGCAGTAGCATTCCAACGATGCTGACGTAAATTCAACATTACAACTACGATAGGCATCTGATAACTTCCGTCATTTAACTTTTTACCACCTTGAATAGTGAAATGACAATCTTGATTGGGTTTATTAGGGCGTTCAAAGAAATCGCAATATATGTATCCCAATAATCCTTCTGATTCATGCACTACAGCTAATTTGTATAATAAATCTGTCCAATCTTCACCTAAAATAGAAAAAAGTTTTTGAACATACATAATTTTTTTGAGATATTTTTATAGTACCGGGTTCCATAGGAACAGTTTCTAAGGTTATTCCATACAAAGAATGCATTAATAAACTCAACCCGTCCATACAACTTCCCAAACTAAAAAATGGATTAAAATCTTCAATGGAGCCTTGCAACCATTTCCGCTTCATTAACATTGTAAAATACGGGGTATCCCAAGCTGCCAATTTAGCATTGGGTAATCCACTATTGCTTTTCTAAAATCAATAATGAATGAAAGCCACAACATTATTAGCCTAAATGACTTAAGTACTTTAATTTTTTCCATTAAGTTGAATTCTTTTTCTGATCTACTTCTTATAGATAGTGAAAGCTCATCAAGAAATGAATTTACTGCAGATGGATTTTCGACTGTACTCGCCTTTAATGCTCGATCTGCGTAGGTATCGAAACCACAAATCGTCGCTAATATATAACGATATTTTATAAGATCTTCAAGTAATTTTTCTTGATTATGATCAGGATATAAAAAAAGCCTATAAGCTGCTTCACGTGCTACAGAGCTAGATGAATCAGTATATAAACCTGAAACATATATCTTGTCACCTTCAACTGGAAAACTAAAAATAAATTTCATTGAAAGAATTCTTTATAAGGAATTAAAATTTAATACTGTTTTCTTATATCTTCTGGGAGTAAGCTTTTCATTATTGAACGGGGATGAACAGCCCCATCCATGAATTTCTGTCCTATTTGTAAAATGGCTTCATTTATTTCAACAACTTTTTTTCTATATGATTCTTCTAAATGGATACCGCTTTGCTCAAAGTCGAACAAAAACAATTTAGCAACGTGCTGATCTATAGCACTTGTTTTCATTAGATCACCATTATTTACTACATACTGCAAGGCTTGAAACAGCTCTTTATGCACATTTAATCTGAAATTTTCTAATAAATATAATATATTTTAAAAAACAAATTTTTTTGCTTTAAAAATTACTTTTCCACAAGTCCACTGACAGTAATACATGCCTGGGTTGCAGCGTCTGAATATTTGTGGTCAGGGTGAGATAATCTAATAAATTCAGCTAAATCAGCCACTTTGCATAAAGAATCTGATAATTCATCAAATATTTCCACCTGTAAATTTTAATAAATATATTTTCATTAAATACATAGTAAGTCAATGTTTCTACCAATTTCCTTTTGCGGTTCAAAGAAACAGCTTCATCAACTAAATTTTCCGTTTTCGATATCACATCTTCTTGTAAAAGGTAAAACCCTTCCGGCGTTCTTAACTGTTTTATATTGAAAACACCAGTATTAGATTTCGTTATATTTAGCTTTTTCGGTGGAGGTGAGTTGAAAGTTGTTGCAAGAGGAGACCAAGTAGAAAGATTTCTCAAAGTAATGCCGATTTCATGAAAATTAATCCTTATTCCAGTTTTAATTTTATAAAAATTAATCATTTTTTGTATAACGACAATCTAAACATCAAGCATGTATAGTAGATTCTGTCGTCGCCCGTATTATCATATAAACCAAAGAACTATGTAATGTATATTAAAATAAGTGTAATTATGTAGTTTCAAATAAAAAAAAATCTATTTTAATACTTATGGTAACTCAAAAAATCTATGAATTGCTAGCAAGTAGCATAACAAAATTTTTGTTATGAGGAAAATAATAAAAATTTCAGATGTTTTTGACAATTTATTGGCAAAATTAAGTAAATCCAAAAAGTTTGACAGTTATCGAGAGTCGAAATCGGTTTATCCAAAAGGATTGATATATTTTCGAACTTATTTCTAGTGGAATCGAGAATTGTGCCTGGGAATTCGATTTATTTGAATGTGTACTAAATAATCTTTAACTCTTACGGCGACCATTATAAAAACATATCAAATTTCCTAATAGAAGGACTTTTAACGGAAATTTAAGCTACAATCCATTTTTTTTGTTCAAACTATTGTCTGGTTGCGATAATTATTACAAAAGTTATTAATAGCACCAAAAGATGTATAACATTCAAACAAGAATAAAAAAAAATACTACAATGGCAGCATTCTTTGTAACTCAAAAATGTCTAATTGGTCGCTACCTTAAAAATTTCATGTAGCGCTTTAGAATTATTTATATTTTCGCCATTTTTAACTAATCTAAATAAAGATGAAGAGGAAATTTTGGTTTATTGTAATTTATAAATATTTACTAATAACTTATGCAAACGGTTGGTTTCCATTGTAGTGATTTTTAGATCATTTTAACTATAATAGTTGATTTTTTTTTCAACAAGCCTTATTTAGATTATTTGTAAATACATACTTTATATCTTACGAACTTAAAATTTTTAGGGGAAATTGAAGGTCGATCTCTAGATGGACATGAAGAAAGTTTGGATTTTGGTATTAATAATATAAATGAAAGAAGAGAAATTCCTATTCAAAATTCAGTTCAGCAAAATCCTAGGTAAGTAAATAATTATACAGAAAAATTTATAATCATAGATTAACTCAAAATCACAAGTGCTCCTTTTACTGAATTAAAAATCTTAAATTTACATATTGAATATATATTTTATAATTGTATAGTAAATTAGAATTAGATAAGAGAAAAAATAGATCAAAATGTACAATTAAATTTTGCTTGATATCTTTTATTCGATTTATAAAGAATTGTGGACATTTAAGGCCACAACATAAAAATAAATTTAGACGTTTTAAAATAATTAAGAAACGAATTTGAAAGTATTGAATTTTTGCATCGTATACTTTATAAGATTAACTAAGTTTAAGACAATAAGGTAAAATTGCTTATCACACGTAGGCATTCGTATTTTCCTTAAATTTTGTAAAAATAATTAAAATGTATTTTATTTTCTCTAAAGGAGACATTCAAAGTCTAAGAGGAGAATGAAAAAACGCAGGTAGACTTAAAGCTCGTTTTTTGTAAAATTTTTATGTTTGAATAATGTATGTTTAATTAGCTTGAAATATATTAATTTTTATTTGATTTATTTATTTATAATTAATTACCTACTTATGTAGTTTTTAAGTTATTAAAACATACTCAATGCAAAATATTACGTTTGCGCATATTTTTTTAGTTTAAATTCAATTGTTTTTTTTTTAACTTGAGTTAATAAAATATTTAAAATATAATTTTTAAAATATAATGATTTTATTGAAAAAATCTATTAATTGAATTCTAATCTAATTAAAAGTCTAGTTATTTTTGAAAAATATCAATTTTTTTATATATTTTTTAGTTTAGCAATTTAGTTATTTATTTTATTAAAAATAATAAGTTCATACAATTTTGAAACACTTTTTATTTACATATATTCATTTTATTTAGCTATTTTTCAATCACGCATCTTGATTTTTTAAGTAGGTAGCTACTTAAATTATTTGCTTTTTTATTTGAAAGCTGAGTTTATGTATCCTTATAAATTTATATTTTAGCGCTAGCTAGATTTTTTATAATATTTTTATTTATACTACGTTAATTATTCTATTTTACAGTTTTCTAATACACGAAATTGTAAATTATTTCAGATACAGATGCTACTCTTGCGAATACTCTGATTGTTATGATACTGAATTGCGCAAAACTCATTTATGTCAAAATGCTTTACAGGTATCTATTAATTTAATATAGTAAAGATATAATTTTTTACATAGAATATTTATTAAGTGTTGGAAATCTACCACGAGAGAGGTAAATGGTATTGTCCGTGTTTCTAGAGGATGCACTACTCATGACAAGATACCATTTTGCCTTAGTAATACAAGCGCCCCCGGAAAGCCGGAAAATGGTCGTTATAGTATTGAATGCTGTACTGGAGATTATTGTAACGATGGTGATTTTCCCGAAATACTAGACTTTCATGAAGGTAAGAAATTAAAAATTAGAAATTTGTGTTTATTCATTAATTATTTGTAGATGATGTAACTCGAGGGCAAATTGGAAATGACAAAATTAAATTATCAATGGCAATATTTGGACCAGTAGTTTTTATTAGTTTACTTGCAATTGTAGTAATATATTTTATGCGTAAAAATCATCAAAAAAGGCTTCTCGCTACCCGTAGTAAACAAGATCCAGAAACATATTATGCCAGTGACGATTTATTGAGGGCAACTAGCGCTGGAGATAGTACACTTAGGGTAATTATTCTTTTTTCGTAATATTGAACTGATAAAAAAAAATTAATTTTTCATAGGAATATTTACAACATTCTGTAACCTCAGGCTCTGGAAGTGGACTTCCTCTCTTGGGTATATAAATCTCTTGGTTCATAAAAGCATAACAAATAATTTTATTTTTAATAAAAATTTCAGTTCAACGAACTTTGGCCAAACAAGTAACTTTAGTAGATTGCATTGGACGAGGAAGATATGGAGAAGTTTGGCGTGGTATTTGGCATGGCGAAAATGTTGCTGTAAAAATTTTTTTCAGCCGAGATGAAGAATCATGGAAAAGGGAAACAGAAATTTACAGGTACTGTCTAAAAGTTTCCTTTGTTTCATGATATCTTATTCATTGCGCATATTTTCTTTAGTACGGCGCTTCTTAGACATGAAAACATTCTTGGCTATATTGGCTCAGACATGACTTCCAGAAATTCATGTACTCAATTATGGCTTTTAACAAATTATTATCCATTTGGGTCTCTTTTTGACTATTTAAACAGGATGTCCTTAAATCATAACGATATGATGCAAATATGTCTTTCTGTAGCGAACGGGCTTGTTCATTTGCATACAGAAATATTCGGCACTGAAGTAAATATGTTTTAGAAATTTTAAATATATCACAAAATTAGCAAAATTTTAATTACAGGGTAAACCAGCGATAGCTCATAGAGATCTCAAATCTAAAAATATACTAGTCAAACCAAACGGTGTATGTGCAATAGCCGATTTTGGTTTGGCAGTCACTCATTCGCAAGTGACTGGAAAATTAGACTTAGGAACTAATCCAAAAGTTGGTACAAAACGTTATATGGCTCCAGAAGTATTAGATGAAACGTAAAGAAAATTCTCATGTTAAAATAAAATATTGTGCAATAATAAAATTTTATTTCAGAATAAATATGAAATGTTTTGAAGCTTTAAGACGTGCTGATATATATGCGTTAGGGTTAATATTTTGGGAAGTTGGCCGTCGAACTCTTTCTGGTGGTATAGCTGAAGATTATAAAGTTCCATATTATGATGTTGTGCCGAATGATCCAAGTTTTGAGGATATGAGGAAAGTAGTATGTGGTGACAATTATAGACCTTGTATACCAAATAGATGGAGTTCTGACATGGTATGGAATATTGAAAGAAAATGAAAAAAGATATTTTTAAAGCTTTGTATGTTTTAGCTCCTAGCAACCTTGTCAAAATTAATGAGAGAATGTTGGCACCAAAATCCTAATGTGCGATTACCAGCCTTAAGGATAAAGAAAACTCTTCTTAAATTAGCTTCAACGGATAGTAAAGTTCGATTAGATTATGAAGAAGAATGTGTCTGATTAGTAAATAGAAAACTTTAGTTTTAATAATTTTAGTATTAAGAAAATATTTTTAGCATGTACTTTTTTTTAAGTTGTATTTTTTTAAGATAAAAAATTATTTAAAAAAAAAAAATTGCGCAGTGTAAATAAGATTTGAAATAATGAATAATTTTTAAATTTTTTATAATGTTAACTAAATATGTGACGAAATTTATAAGAAATTACTAGGAATGAAAATTCGATTTGCAGATATTTTCTAGTTAAATTATTTTATCTCAAATTAGATTGCTCAATTTCAATCGGAAAATTAATTTGTTTAGACTTTTAGTTTTGAAGAAGTAGATATTTTATTATTAAATTTAAATTTAATTTTTTCAGTTTTAAAAAATGAATTTTATTTTCCAATATGTAAAAAATAATTACCGTTCTTGTCCTCATTATATGACCGTTTACTTTTTTTTTTCGAATTATTTTAAAAAATAATTTTTCTTAGAAAATATCATTCCAATGTTGTTTCAAATTTAAATATTAAAGAATGAAATGTAAATATAATTTCTTTGAAATTTTCATGTATATACATACACAAAAACACGTTATAACTAAAAAATAAAAACAATTCATATTTGAGACATTTTTAATAATTCAAAAATAAAAATGTATTATTAGCAAAATTATTTGTCAAAAATTTTTTTGTTACAGAATACTTAAGGAAACTTAAATAATGAAAGATTTTATATATCTAGAGATATTAAAATTTTTAAATTAATTTAAGTAAATTTCATTTTATAACAGTATTGTAAAATAATCTGTGTAAGACAAACTACATTTTACGTTTTTTTTTTTTTATAAATTTGTACGTAAATAATCCGTATTTACCATAAAATAAATTAATAGCAATGATAGAAATCATTATATTATTCAGTTCATAAGCATAAAAAGATACTGTTTTTAAGATAAGGTTTACTTTTAATATTAAATTTTATAGATTTAGTTTAAGTGCCATTAATATTTCAAAATACATAAATTTAATTAAACTAAAGTATTTTGCATTCTAAGTTCAATGAAATATTTGCTAGTGGATTCTGTCACTGTATACAATGAAAATCATCTTTTGTTGAAAAAGATGAAATTTGTTATCGTTATTTAGTGAGAGTTGTAGAGTGTTATTTTTTCGTGAAGATACATGCAATACATGATTGTGTTTAATTTTTTGAGAAGTCGTATCAATTTTAGTATACACTTTGACGTTTGTAAAAACTAGCTCAATTAATTTTTAATCGTTGTTTAAAATTGTTTTCGAAGTTTATTTATTTATTAAAATTTGACTGAGTTATCTTTTAATTTTGCCTCGTAAAGGGATCTATGATTTAAATTATTGTAGTATTTAATTAAAAAGCTAGATAATTTTAAATTAAATTTCGCATGGAAATTTACCTAAAAATAAAAAGTTTTAAATATGTCCATAGCTTTGTTTAATCGCCAAGAGATGGATTGTCAAATTGACAACTTAATATATTCAGATTAGTACGATACTCGAAATCTTCTGCTGTCAAATTAAAATTTTTACTTTTAATTTCAACATTCAATTCTGTCCAAAAATTTATTATAATAGTATAATGGAGTAAGTTTATTTTTTTAATTATACTTTTAATAAAGCTAAATAAAAATAAATAAATTATAAAGGACATTTTGATACAATTTTAAAGTTATATGAAGTAAAAGCAAAAATTTTACTTAAAGAATTTTGTGAAGTAAAAGTAATTAGGTTACTGCAGAGTAGCAAGTGGTGTTTTTATAAAAAAAAAAAGAAAAATAGTAATATTGTGGCATTAAAACACAAGGTCAATCCCTTACCTTAATAAAAAAAAATATGAATCATCTATAAAAATAACAATGTTTAAACTAGAAGTATAATTTGATAAACTTGTTTACGTCATTTACAATCAATGAATAAAGGAAACTTAGTCTTATCATACGTATATACTCGTACATTATGTTTCATTGAAACGTATTTCAAATCATTTTGTATATACTCGTACATTATGTTTCATTGAAACGTATTTCAAATCATTTTGTAGTTATTGTATTTTTCCCCAATTTGTAAACAAAGAACAAAGACAATTTTATTGAAATAACATCTAAAATTATTATGGCATACTAATGACTTTGTTTATAAACACACTGTTTTATTGTTACTATTGTTAATCTGGAATATTAAATGATTATACTGACAACCTATGAATTTATTTCATGATATACATATTACATTAATTAACAGGACCCGTTTTTGTCCTGTACACTTAATAAATGTAAGTGTAGGTGATAGTTTTTTTATTTTTTGTACCCAGTTTTTATATTTTCGATTGAGGTAGGTAGGTAGATCCTACATCCATAAAAAATGTAAGGCGAAATTAACTATTATCGAAATCTTATGAATACCTAATTAGTTACCCCTTTAAAAGAATATATTTCAAGATTCAGTAAGCCACGTCATTTTCGATGTTAGTGAACAATTTGTACTTATAAGACGAGATGTTTTGAAATATGTCATTAAAATATTTTTCAATTTTTTATAAATGCTATTTCAATAAATCGATCTTATCAACTTTAAATGTATGTTTAACTTTAAATGTATCTTTAGATCTTTTTTGAGATTTTTTAATAATTTTAATATAAAGAAGGAATTTTTTCATTTGATTTTACGAAATTAAAAGTGAATCTTATTATATTAAAAATGAAAGTAAATGAAGAAATCTACTTGTATATATGTACATACATACATGAATACAAATTAAATAAAAATATGTCTTGTTGGAACTAGATTAGCCTGATATTGCTACAAATTTTTAAATTAAGTCCTATTGAATTTTATAGTTCCGATATTCGATAATAGTTTTTCTAAATTGCGACATCTATACTCACTACTATCAGTACGTACCTATCTAAGTAGGTACTAGACTTAAATTTTTCACAAATTTTATTTTAAAGTTGCTTTTTCACAAGATAACTTCAATGATCAATGCAAAAATTTCGAAAATATTTGTAATTTTTAAATTTTAGAATAATTTCAATAAGTTTTCCAGTTTCATGTGAAATAAATATTACATAATATTTTTTTTGATCTTTTACATAAATTTCAGAACGAACTTTAGTATACCAGAAAATTTTAAAGCACGTTCGTCAGATGAATGTGCTTTGGTGAACAACAAAACAACGGTAGTGTTTAAGAATTTGTATGAAGGAATCCCGGATACACTACTGTTAAATTTTATATCATGGATGTTATTAATATTCCTATTTACAATAATGCGACATCAAGCTTGGGATTATGGTCGATTGGCTTTAGTTAATGGTAACGGAAGTAAAAAGCGTTGGACACAACTTTTTTATGCTAAAGCTAATGAAGATTCAACGATGTTGAATTCTCCTTCATCCCCAGTTGCTCCTAATCCTCAATTACCTCAATCAAATGTCAATCATACTAGCGACCAAGGTATGTTTTCTTGGGTTATTACAACTCTAAAATTGAAAAAAGATCAAATATTAATGCATAGTGGACCGGATGCCGTGCACTATTTATCGTTTCAGCAACATTTAATAGTTGTAATGGGTATTATAACTGTTATATCAATTGTAATAGTTTTGCCAATAAATTTTCAAGGCACAATATATGGGGACGTTAATAGTTTTGGCCACACTACATTGTCAAACTTGGATCCAAAATCACCATGGCTATGGTTTCATGTTATTATCGCTATCGCATATGTTCCTTTAGTTGTATTAATAATGAGAAGAACTTCAGGTCGCAATGCCTTTAAAAAAGTTCCAACACGTAGTATAATGATAACAAATATAACAGTAAACGAAGATAGAGATAAAAATGTTATTCGAGGCTATCTACAGGAATTATTCCCTGATGTAACAATTAAAGATATTCAATTGGCTTATAATATTAACAAATTAGCTGTTAAAAATGAAGAATATGAGAAAGCAGTTGAAGCTCGCATATACTGTGAAAATAATAGAAATCGTAAGAAAATATATGTGAAACCTGAATTCTGTTCTTGCAACAAAGTTGATGCATATGAATACTATCGGGAAGAAGAAACAAAGCTTGCTGGAGAAGTAGCAAGACTAAGAGCATCAGCATTAAATCATCCATTGGGTGTTGCTTTTGTTACAGTTTCAACCGTTGCCGAAGCTCAAAGTATTATATCTCATCGTCCAGTTGCCCATAAAAATTGGAAAATAACGGTAGCACCGGCACCTTCTGACATTTTTTGGGAAAATTTAAATGTTTCTCCAAGTAAATGGTATTTTAAATGGTGCGTGGTGAATATTTGCCTATTTTTGGTGCTCTTTTTTTTAACAACTCCTGCAATTGTTGTCAATACATTAAACACATTTTCTTTTACAAAAGACACCACAGACAAAATATCTCGTTTTAGTCCGCTTATATCCGAATTTTTGCCAACTCTGATGCTGTTAACATTATCAACAATGATGCCGGTAAAAATTTATATATTGCTTATAATTTAAATTTTTTGTGTGGCATTATTTCACATGATTATAATGTCAAATTCTTTTTAGGTTCTTGTTGCTTTTTCAGAAACTTGGCTTTACCACTGGACGAGGTCCTTAAAAAATTATGCTGTAATGACTAAAACTTTTGGTTATTTGCTTTTTATGATCCTCATTTTACCTTCTCTTGGGTTGACAAGTGCACAGGCATTTGTTGAATGGACAATCAATAGTGCAGTAAATAATAAAACGAATTATAGATGGAAATGTATATTTTTGCCGGATAAAGGAGCGTTTTTTGTCAATTATATTATTACCGCAGCTTTCATCGGTACAGCTTTAGAGTTAATTCGATTCCCAGAATTAATAATGTATACATGGAAAATGGTAACTTCCAAATCTGAGGCTGAAACTCCTTATGTTCGAAAATCCATTTTAATTGAGTATCCATTCGGTGTTCATTATGCCTGGTAAATATTTACAGATTTTAATTAACAAAAATTTATTTATTCTATATGTTTTGATTAATTGTTATCATTATTTTAGGACAATTTTGGTTTTTACAATGTGTACGGTATATAGTTTGGCAATTCCATTGATTATGCCGTTTGGAATGCTATATTTGGTCTTTAAGCATTTTGCTGATCGGCATAATTTATATTTCGCGTATGGCCCCAGCAATATGATAAGCAAAAGTGGTGGTAAAATTCACTCAACTGCAGTAACCATGACAAAATTTTCTATAGTCGTATTGATGGTCATTCTGACGGCTTTTATAGCAGTACGTGCCGGAGAAATTGATGCAAAAGCTATTATATTAATTATTGCTTTATGTATAACATTGACATTGTTTACATTTATGTCACCTATTAAAAGGTGTACTATGAGAAAACCGTCTATAGCCGAAAATATAGGACCATCTCCTCCATATATAGCAAACGTTTTGATAAATAAACAGGCTTCTACAAATGAAAGTCCTGCGTTTTCTGGATATGGTTCAGATCGTATCGAAGATCATGAAAGCTTAAATAGCGAAAATCGGAATAATGGTAGCATTAAGGACATTGATATCTAAAACTTGAAAGAAATATTTTTCGCTTTTACTAATTAAGGAGGAAAAAGCATATTTTAGTTAAATAGTAATCAATAAGAAAAAATTAAATATGATGTTATATTTTTTGTAACTTTTAATATTTTAAATGCAAAGGAAGAATATATATATTCCAGATGTTAATTATAATAATATTGCCTTCACGAAAACAAAAAATTAATGTAATAAAGCAGAAAATTATATTGTTAATCTTATTTCTACCTCTAAAAAATTAAGAAAATTTACCTTTATTGTAATTGTCATAAGTTTTAAATCATGCGATATTATTATTTTTTTTAATTGTAATTATTTTCCTAATTTTGGCGATTGTGTATTGTTCAATAGAAAAAATATTTTAATAGAAAGTTTTTCACACAAAATTTTCACTTAAGATCGAAACGAAATGAATTTAGTATGTGATTGTATGTATAAATTCTTATATTATATATTTGATTTATGAAATTTTAGCTGTAACTTAGTTTTTACCTTATTTATTCAAAATTATTAAAACAATTACCTAAATAAAATATTTACATAAAGAAATTCGGAATGTAGCTATAATAATACCTCAAATAAATACTTATAAATACTAAAAATAAATAAGTATTTGAATGAAAGATTAGGTATTTTTGTATTATAATTTGTCATCACTATTCATAAAATATTGCGTTTACTGCCAAGTCGAAAAATTAAGTAATAAATAAAAAAAATTTTCATATTAAAGCAAAATAAATAACTTTTAAGTGAAACAAGGTTAAATTTCCAGTGCAATTTTTTAAAAGAAAACTTCTATGACTACTCAAGCTATTAATTTGTGATATCAACTTATTCCTTGTTCATTTTATAGTAATTTATACGATTTAAAGATATAAATAAACATGGTTTTATAAAAATAGCTGCATTCTTAAATATGTTTTATTAATATTAATTCCATATGTGTACGATATGTGCGTATCTACATACATTAATAATTATTTTTATACAAGTTTTTATAAAAAATTAAATTAAGAAATATGTACATATTATATAATAAAAGCATTCAGTTAGTTATTGAGAGATTCAAAACTACAAAAAAAAAAGTATTTTAACATTTAGTGAAATTGAACAGTATGTATAATTGTATCATAGAATAATTTCAATTATTTCAAATAGTACAAAGCTGGAATTTTGAACATTAAAAATGAGTTCATTTAAATTGAATTTATAAATCAGGGGGATTATTTTCATATTTATTAAAAATTTTTACAAAAAAATTCATTTTTAGTTACAAAATTAAGTAGTTTCGAAATTTTTAAAAATATCTAAAAAACATTTAATTTATTATGCAACCTAATTTCATATGATCAACTAAGTAATCAGTAGCAATTTAAAAAGAATTTAATTTAATTCATGGATTAATTGCTAACATTAACTTAAAAAACATTAACCTTTTAGAATTTTTTATAATTTTTAAAAAAGAATTTAGTTAAAAAATTAATATTTCTTATGAAATTATATTATTAACCGAATATATTGTATGCATATGCTTTTCTAATCACACAGTTACATTTCTTGAGAGAATCCAATAAATTCGTTCATATATTTGTTTAATTTTTTATTCCAGCTTTGCTATTGTTATATCAATAATATTTAGAATTAAGAGTTTCATTAGTGCTAGAAATAATTCTATAGCACTATATCTGGCCTTTTTAACTATATATATATATGCGTACACATATAATCATAATTAAAAATTTATTAATACATATTATATACATACTTGCATTAAAATATGTGTATCTATTAAAAATTATACATATTATGTAATTATGTAATTTTAAATAATTATTCATTTGCACCAAAAAACCCAAATATTTATAGTTAAATAATTATAATAAATATGCATTCTTCCAAAAAGAAAATGAAAATTAATTTCTTGCACTCGTGAACTTAGTAAAAAAGAAAAAGATAAAAACTTTATAAGCTTTTAATAATTTTTGTAATAAATTTTAAAATTGAACTCAAGCATTAATTTTCTACAAGCAAATAAAATAGAAGTTTTTAAAATATAAAAATTTTAGAATAAAATCACACAATCAATTGTACTTTGAAACCTCTTCTGATAAAAATATTTTTTTTGACATTTATCATTGTAGTTATTTATTTACTAAATTTGAATTTAATTTTTTAATTAAAATGTTTAAAGCCAATCAATTTTTATTTGCAGAGTGCTAGTATATCTTTTGTATATGACCACAGAAATATGCAAAAAGTTGATGTTAACCAATTATATGAAATTTACATAATGAAAAGTCTGACTGGTTAAAAATTTTAGACACATTAGAAATTTTATAAGTTTATTAACTATTAATTAATTCTTTTGCTATGTATATATAGTTAACAAAAAAAAGTTACCTGTGATCCTTACAGCAAATTAATTGCAATCAACGGAATTCATTCGAAAACCTTCGAAATTTTTATATTCAAATTCATCTTGTATTCCAAATTGAGCATTTTTTAATTAAGTTTCAAATTAAAATAAAAGAATTAAGATAAAAAAAGACTAATTTATGATACAAAAGACGACTTGCGTAAAAGATAAATAAATTAATAAATACCTTTTTTATTCAGTTCAGTTCATTGTTTGAATTTGTGGTCATATAAAAGGGATACAAAGTGTATGTATATTCACATAACTATAATGTAATGTTAAAAAAGTCCACGTTACATAAGCTTTAGTTAAATTCTTTTAAGCTAAAAAATATGTAAGCCCAGATTTTTTATTTTTTTTTAACTTTTGTAAAATTTTTTAATATTTAGATTATTTTTGATTACTACCAATATTATAATAAAACTAATAAAATGAAAAACTACATATTGTATTTTATTTTAATTAATTTATTATCATTCTAACTTTAATGGTATACAGGGTACATTTTTCAAAATTTCGACATTTTGATTAAAAATTTAAATGTACAGTAAAAAAATATTTTGTCATTATAAATAAACATTGAAACTCTTTCTTGTAAAAGTTTGACTTGCAATAATAAAGTTATTATAATTTTATTCCGTATTCTCATGTAAAAAGTTGTAGAGAAAATTAAATTTTTTACTAGAGTTGCTTATTTTATTAAAAGTTTTATCAACATTTTTTTTATTAAATTTTTTTGTTAAATCTTGAATTGAGAATTCATAGGAGTAATAAAGTCGTTTATCTAAAATATTGCATAACGCTGAATTTAAAATTTCTTGATATTATTTTTACATGAAAAACAGTAAAATTTTTCATAACAGAACTTACATAATTACAATTACAGGTGCGATTCAATTTTACGTACAAAAATTTTTATTTATATTTATGTTACGGACAAAGATTACAAGCAATACATTTCATATGACAAAAATTTATTCTTCGTTATTTTTTTGTTAATCTGCTGCTCTTTAATCGTACAGGAAGATTTGACTTGGTATTTAAGTTCTTATTCTTTTTTATTGTATCTTCAGTTTCATTTCTTAAATTCGATTGAACTTGTTGATTTTTATTTACTTTGCTTGAATCGGTTTTATTGCTCTTGTTTTGTTGTTGTTGTGAACTTTTGTCCTCCTTACTATTAACAGTATTTTTACTTACTGGAATTCTACTTGCTTTTCCTCTATCAATACTTTGTTTTAACGTTGAAAAATTATCTGACAATCGTTTACGAGTTACAATTGCGTTTGCCAAATGATCCCTTTTTGATGCACTTCTGGTACTTATGCTGGGAGAATTTTCATTTGAAGTATTACCAGTTTTGGTCTGTTTACTAACTTTTACTGGAGTTTGATTTTTAGACGGAAATGTTTTAGATTTTGCATCAACTTTTTGATTAGACTGATTCAGCGCTTTGCTTGCGGAGTTTACATTTTGTGAATTTGATTTGGGTGCAACTGGTTTCGGAGTTTTCGGGTAAGCTTTTTTCTCACTTTCTGCTGTTGATAAGATAGTTACATCCTGTTTATTCTTAGTAATGGAACGCGTTTGTTTGCGCTCTGAAGTTATGGAACTTGCTGGAGACTATAATACCGAACGTTTTATTATTTATTTTATATAACTTAACTAATCACTTACTTTTTCACTTACTTTTGGATTTTCCACTGCTGCTTGCACAGTTTTCGTTTTTGAAACGGAATTTTTTTTCTGTGCAAATAAAAAAGAAAGTAAAATTAGAAGGAAAATTTAAATTCCTTTCGAATTGTTTTTCAAAAATTTTGTTTTTAAGAGAAATAAAATTTCTCAATTTATTTAGAAAAGAAATGGCAATTTATAAGGATATCTCACCAGTCTACTTAATTCCCTTTTTCCATGTTTATTTATGACAGCTTCCGGAGATGCGGCAACCGCTTCCTAAAATAATTATTTTTAATATAGAACTTGAACCCAATATCATAAATATAATATTTACCGATGTTAAATCTAAACTCAAGTCTGTTGCAGTTTTATTTATAGCTTCATTTTCTTCATCATTGATTTGAGTGCTGCGTTTGTTTTTGTCAGAGGTATCTGAATATTCTTTATTAGTGGTCGTGCTTGATTCAAGAGCTGGTTGAGGTACTTCTTGAATTCCTTTTATATTGGCTTGCATTTTTGCTTCGATCCGGATTTTAGGTGGCATAGTGGGTCCATCTTCGTTATTATGTGAAGTTTGTCGAAGATTCAAGGATTTTCTTAAATATCTCATATTTGTATTATTATCACGGCCAAATGTTGTGGCAGATTTGTTGTGATTTACAATGGAAGCTTGAGCTGATTCATTTGTATTGTCGGATATTGTTTTTCTAGGGGTTGAATTATCTGACATAAGCGGAGGTATTATTGCGCTTACATTTTGTGTTAAGTTTTGGGTGATTTCTTTTGAAATGGTTGCCTCGATTGCAGTACTGTTTGGAGTCTTTGCATTTGGGGAATTAATATTACGGTCATTGATTTTACATGTGTTATCCTCATTTTGTCCCGGAATTTTTTCTAATTTTTCTTTGTTTACAAGCTCGTTGCCTTGGATTGAATTTTCTGGTAAAGCATTTTGTGCATGTTCACTACCATCACCTTTTTCGTTTTCAGTTCTTTGGTTTGATTGCCCTGTTTCCTTCAGATTATCTCTATTTGGTTCAGTTTCGGAAAAATTTGGCGCACTATTTATATTTACACTTTGCGTAGTTTCTGTTGTTGCTTGTGTTTCGTGGTCAGACTCATCTTCATCCTAGGTATATAAAAAACTTACTAAAAAGCGCATTACTGAAACAGTCAAATTTACCTCTTCTGACCCGTCTTGTGTTACTCTCAAACCTCCTGCAAAATTACCATTCAAAACTTCTTTAAAACTTCTTATATTTTTAGCAGATTTAAAATCTAGTTCGCTCTGTAATGAAATTTTATTAACTAATTTACTAATTAATTAATACAAGCTTACCTCTAATAATTTGTCGCAGCATTTTCCTAGATCATTTCTTAATGGAGCATCATCAGATGCAGAAATTTCTAGACTGAATAGCTCTTTTGATAAAATTTTAACTAATTCTTTATTGCTAAGGTTATTCTGCATTTCTTGCATGAAAGATAAAGCAATGGTATTATGAATATTTAGACCCGTACTACAAAACTGTGGCCTCGTGGCATCCACAACAAATTTTATAACTGTTTCGGGCTTAATTTCATGAAAAGGGCTGTCATATGGAGCAGTTAAAATTGTGTTGATTGTTGGTAATAAACAAGGTTGCAGGTATTCTTGTCTCTTCTTTTTAATTAAATTTCTGTAGAACATTCCCAAAATTTGGTTAATCTCAGGTTCAGTAGCTGGATTAAAGTACTTCAGTAATAGCTTTTCCATGATATCATCATTTTTTATATGACCATGAAGTACTAACCGACACATTCCTTTCACTATTGCTCGAAGAATGTATACATCCTCACATGTATCCAAAATATGAGACATCATAAAAATAACATCAACATGAAAGGTAGAAGTAGAAGAAACATCTTCATCAACATCCAAAAACTCTAAAGTGTTATATAATTGACGACGATTTTTATTTTTATTCTGCTTATCTGTATTTTCAAAATGGTCAAACCCATACCTAAAATTCATACTTTAATAAAATATTATTTTTTTTTAATGAAATTTTATTTACCTATCTATTAACTCAAACAAACAGTCAATAGAAGTATTCCAAATGGTTATATTTTGATTTTTAAAAAATTGTGTATAAAGTTCACTGTAAACATCTTTGGCCAACTGGTCATAGAGCATACTATAAGCTGTTCCACACTTTAGAGCCCAATTTCTTACGAATATTGTACTTGATTCAATATGTCTTCTTATAAAGTTCTTCACAAAAAAAAGATACAATAAAATATTTTATTCAGACAAAATCGATTTTAATTTACCTTATATAATTCACAAACATTTGGTGTTAAAGAATTAACTTTTTTTGAAGCGACCATGTAAAATGAAATTTGTAAACATTTAACTATTTCTTCGCTCGTTATTTTTTTGGGCTGTTGAAGATTTACATATGCCTTAAATCAAAATATCGCTATATTTGTATATTCATGTGTATGTGTATAAGTAATATATAAACTAACCGACTTTAGCCTGTCCGAGTTTTCTGAAGTTGATGTCTGGATTAATAGAGGTTTTAATAAATTCATATATTCCTCATGACAAGCGCTTTTTTCTTCAGTAATTTTTTGCGCTTCGACGTAGTCTTTTTTGTCAACATAATTTCTTTCTTGCTCTTCTAAATCCAATATTTTGACACGAAGAGAGGTGATTTTCAATTTCAAATTTATATCTGAATTTTTGTCTAGAAGTTCATCAATTAAATTCCTATTGTTTAGAAAATCATTTAAATTTCCGGCCTTGGTGTCGGTTATTTCTTTTATTATATCAACAAAAAACTAAAGGAAGGAAATTTTTTTGTTAAAAATTTAAATTTAGGTTAACTAATATAAATACGATAATAGCTTTGTTACCTGAAGCCGATCTTCCTGATTAGTTATTAGATTTTCCGCACATCTGACAACCATTTCGACTACTTTTCCATTAATGTCATGATTTTTTAATAAGGTCCCCAAAAGTTGTTTAAGATTCTCCCTTCCTATCTCATCGCCCAAATCAAATGTGTAAACTATTTCCATCAAGCCCAATAAAATGTATTGATTTTCCATCTTTCTCCACTTATCATCGTCGTTGCTCAGTTTTCTAAGTTCGCAGAATCTAAAATATTTTAATTGATTGTAGGTGTTTGATATATTTTACTATTGTTTAATAGTTTAAAAATATATTGAATATAAACTTACTTTAGTATATACAAGCAAAAGGTGCTTAATTCGGGAATAATTACGTCAATTTCATCAGCCATTTGTTGCTGCAAATATTCTATTAGACAAATCCAATAAATGGACACCTCAATTTTAAGTTTTTCATGTGGAACACATTTGTAAAATTCTTTCTCTAGATCATCCCTTTCAATTGGTAAGCATTTGACTAATTCTTCTACGTTGCCTTTTCTAAATAGAATTGTATAATATTTCGAACAATCTTTTAAATTTATTATTATACTTAAACATTTCCTTAAGAGCTAATTTCGCGGTCTTACGAAATCTATCAATTTCAGCTTCATTTGCATCTAGCTTTAGAGCAGATATTAATTCGATATAATCCTTGTTATAAGATTCTAACCACTGTGGAAGCATAACCGAAGAAACAACCTAGTAAAAGAAAACTTTAAAAAAGGAATTATATGAAGAATTAAACAGACCTTTTTAACCATATCAGATCGATCGTTAAGACCTTGTTCTAAAAAAGTAAGCCTTTGCGCAACTTTATAGGAACGAACTGGATAACTGCTCATATTTAAATAAGTGTGCCGACGTACTTTTTCGTCTATATCCCATAAACGTTCCAAAATATATGGTATTGTGTTAAAGTTTCTACCAATTGAACTTATTACGGCCATGCGGACTTTAGGTGAAGGGTCTGCACCTAAATGAAATTGATATGTTTTCAATATAATATCGTCAGGATTATCAGGATTTTGAAGTCTTTGCAAAGCAAGAATTGCTTGAACTCTGACGTTTGGATTAATATCACTCAGTCTTGTGTTCATGTAACTCATAATGTTATCACATATACAATCGTCAAGTGCAGCTTCAGGACCTAGGGCACACAGGATAATATTGACAAATTGACATAAACGATATCTTATATGTGGATTAGTGCTGATCGTCTAAAACCAAATTAGTCGTTATAAAATATAAAGAAGTTTTATATTTTATATACTTACTGATGTGATCCATTTAAATGTATCAAGTAATACAGGATGTGTTATATCACTTTGATAGGAAGAAATATATTTTGCACAAAAGTGCAAAGTTGTGTTGGCGTACTCGTTGTTTTCTTCAGCTTCCATTGCTGACTTAATCATTTTAATAAACGTAAACATAAATGCATCGTGATCCATCTAAAATAAAATAAGACCGGAAATGTAAAAATTTATAAACCAATATTTTTAAATGTTCAACTTTTTTATATAATTGTTGCATCTCCTTAATATATTTGTTATGAAAGGTTTCGCAAAGTTGTACGTTACTCATTATGTTATACATGGGGCCTTGTTGAATAGAAGAATTCTCTGAGTTCTCGTTTTCAATCAACTCGTCCTCATTTCCCTCTTCTTCTACAATTTTTTTCATGGGGATTTTCCTTTTTCTTGCCATTTTTATAGATGAAAAAAAGAGTTTCTAAAAATTTAACACCAACTACATTAAATTATTTTTATTATGTATTTTGAACGACGCTAAATTTGTGACGGTTGATTGCTAGCTTTTGTTTGACATTTGAAAAATATTTGAAACAATCCTATTTCAAATTAACGTGCTGCCATAGCATAGCACAAATTACTTGACGAAATAGACAGCTAAAACATAGACTGTCAGTAAAATTTTTTTTTCCTTTCAAATATAATAAAAAATTTTATAATATTCTATTAAATTTTTTTCAGTAGTACTATTTAAAATTTTTACTTTCTTTACTTAATTAGTGGATAGGGAACATCATATGAGCTCCCGAAATATAAACTATTAGGGTAGATAAGAAATCCTTAAGAGAGAGAAAAAAAAGATATAGCTTATTGCCACTCTATTAATTTTGTCTATGGTTGAAACTTATTATCTATTTAAGTTTTAAATTTCAAAAATAAAACTATATTTTATTTTTAAAATTTAAGGTTTTATTTTTCAAAAAACATTTTTGCATAAACGATTATTTTTTTTCTAGTTTTATACTAGAAAGACGTTATTATTATATCATATACTAAAAATTAATGCCACATACATAATACTCGTATATCTATCAGGCCACCAAAATCAAATTATTTTCCGAAATTTCGCAATCTTAAAAAATTACAAAAACTATTCTTAATGTTTATGTTTTTGAAGTATTCCGATTGAAATATTTATTTATTTTTTTTTGTGAAGTATTTTTTGTTATTCTCACTGTGTTCACTATGGTTTCAAAAGCAATTTAGATTGTGATATTCTTTTTGCTTTTTTTTTCAATTTCTTTTAAAATCCAATTTCTTATTCAAAAATACATATTACCCTTTTCCTTCCATTTGCAAGACAAAAAAAGATTTGCTACGTTAAAAATTGCATTTTTTTTTAATTGTATTTTTCAGATGGAATTTACTAACCGATTTTTTTTAAATTTAAATTTTTAATTAAAAAAAATATATAGATTTTGTAGAGTAAAAAATATTAATCAATTTTTTTTTCACACAAATATTTTCCGGCCCCCATCGAAACTCCATATAAATTTGAGAAATTTAAAATTATTTTTGAGTTACTCTTGTCTCAAAAACCCAACCTTTATCAGCTTGATATGTGGTATTACTAAAAATAATAAATTCAAAGCTTGATATAACAAAAATATTTCAGTCGTGATTCAAAAACTAAAAATATAAAGATGCAAGGAAATTAATTTTTGTTCTAAATAAAGGTAATAAAATTAAATTAGATAAAAATATTTACAATCGGTATAAATTTGAAATTTAATATATTTTATTTAAATCTCTGAATACTTATTAAATAAAAGATTAAAAATATTAAAAAAAAAAGCTTAAAACAAACAGTATGGTAGTAGCAATACTTAAATTGAAGTATATCGACAGCACTGAGCCCTATTTCAATATTAGTTATTAATTTTTGAAGTTTTATTTTTTTGTTTACATGTTTCATCAAATATCATTTATATATACTATTATACTATATACATTATAAAATATTATATGTATATATACAGTCAAACCTCTCTATCTCAATACTTACATATTATGATTTTTCTCTCTGTTGAACAAATCTTTCCCTTGAAGCTAGAAACTAATTTATATTAAAAATTTACTCTTTATGTTAAATACAAAAACAAATTAAATGTCATTTCTCTTTAAATATTAAAATTAGATTTTTTTTCTAAAAATTTTGAAGGCTTTAAAACGGTTAAAGAATAATTGGACATTCATTGCCCAAAAAATATTCTAATACTTGTTTGAATTTCTTACATAATAATATAAATTGAAATAAATAAAATTTTATATAAACATAAATATTTACGTTTTTGAAATAATATAGTTCACATGTAATCAAAACTATATGTGGATAAACGTAAAATTGTTGTATTTTTCAATATTTTTAAACTAAATAGAAGAAAATGCATGAATGCTGTCATTCCAGATAAGGAGGTTTAACTGTATATGTAATATGTATATATATAAATACAGATGTTCATTATGTCATTTAGTTTTATCTATTAAGTAAAGTCGATAAGTCAGTATTTTCTTTAATCAAGCTTATATATTAATAATATACATAATGCATGTGTAAATATGATATAGTGATCGTGAATTTTTAATTTTCGCTCAAAAGTTTCTAAAATTTATATTTGTTAAAGTTTTTAATATATTTTTTAAAATTATAATAACCTTATTAAAAATAAGAATAAAATGATTTTTAATCTACTTAGCGGAGGATTAAAAGTAAAATTTAAGAAAATTGTTGTATTCGATTCCAACACAATAAGATTGTTGTCAACTAGTAATAAGCTTCACAATAAGGAAAGGTGGTTAAAACAACACAATATTTTAATTATTAATACAATCTTCAAGAAATAAATTTGATAAACCCTTTAAATTCAGTAAAAGTTTTGTTGGACCATTAAAAAAATATTTTTGATTAAAATATAATTGCGAACAAAAAAATTTGGCTAATATTAAATACGAAATAAAAATGCATATATGTAAATATATATATACGAGTATGTATATATGTATTATACACATAACACTTATTCTAATTTTCTAAATAATAATTCAATTAGCAGTCACAAGTGGTTCAAACCGTTATATGTAATACATACATATGTATGTATAATGTAAATATGTACCTACGTAAAAATACAGATTGCCTCTTTGGGTGGACAGCTTGTATTTGGGAGACATATCATACAAAATTAGCAAATTCGTTAATATCAAATGTACATTTTCTCAAATTTGAAAAATTCACCAAAATCAACTAAATATTTCGAAAAAAAATTTGCACATTTTTTTTTCTTGTAGTGTAGCATTTTTTGAAACTTAAAAAAATTATTGGAACCTGGAAGGTTTTTTTTTAATTCAATTTTTTAATGTTTTAATAACACAAAACTTTAATAATGTAAGCGCTAGTAAAGTAGAAAAAGATTGAATTTTTACTTTCTGTAAATAAAAATTTGAAAAAAAATTTGATCTTGTGGGAGATTTATGATGCTAAAAAGGGCGTTCTATATATCACAAAAATTTCTTAGTCACTCTCTCTTAGGGTCCAGGCCAGGCCTGTATTTCTGTTCTGGCAAAATTCAAAGATGTGAAATTGAGAATAAAAATTTTAGAAATTACATAGTTCAAACATTTATAATATTATAAAAATATATAACGTATATATGTATGTTACGTTTATAGGTATATTGGTTAACCTTATAAAAATCTTATCTAATACATATTTATAATTATCTAATAAAAATCTTATAATGCGTTTACCTCGAAAAATTACAATGTTTTTTTTATTGGGCTGACCATAAAGTCCCCTTTTCCTATATTCTCTTATCTATGTCCCTTCGGCCTCTTCGATTTTTACATACATCAAATTTTGAAATGATGTTGAAAGCAAAGTGTCGCATTTTTGGAACTTTTAAAATTTGGTTTTCTTATATTTTTCTTCAATTTTTCCAAAGATGTGCCTTAAATGAGGCTGGTTTCAAGTCGGACTTTGATTTTTTTTATAGATAAACAGTTAATATTATTAAATGTGACGTCGCCAATATGTTTCGTAATGTTAATAGATATATACGTACAAATGTATTTCTTTTTTATTTTTTAATAAAAATTGTGAATCACGCACTCAGAAGACTTCTAACATCGTAAAATTCTGAATCAGCCTAGATCAAATTTTAAATACATTTTTGAATTTAAATATGTAAGTTCGTATATATATGTTTACTTCTTGCAGATCCTAAAATATACATAATTGAAAATTTATGTCGTGTTCAGAAACATAATATATCAAACAAAAAAAAAAAATTTCTGATTTCGGTTATTTCAGATGTAAAGTTCTGGTTGTGGGTGGTGGAACTGGGGGTTGTGCTGCTGCTGCAAAATTATCTCACAGGTTACCTAAGAATCAGGTTATGTTGGTTGAGCCTGCTGATGTAAGTGCGCGGTGTTGTAACACTTTCTTCATAATTGTTTGATAATCTATTCTTTCTATTTGTATATATGTAGAAGCATTACTATCAACCGATGTTTACTTTAATAGGAGGTGGGATGAAAAATTTGGATAGCTCATGGAAGTATATGAAAAAAATTCTTCCAGAAAAAGCTAAATGGATTCAAGAAAAAGTTGTTAAGTTTGAACCAAGTAATAATATTGTTGTTACAAATACTAATAAAGAAATAGAATACGATATATTGCTAATTGCAATGGGCCTTCAGCTTAATTATAATAAGGTATTATTATGAAGAATTATATAATAGATGGAATTAAAATACATATAATTTATATATTAATATAACCATATTTATAGGTGCCGGGTTTGGTAGAAGCACTTTCTATACCTGATGGAAATGTAACTTCTATTTACTCTCCAAAGTATGTCAACAGACACTGGGAAGCTTTGCAGAAATTTCAATCTGGGAATATTATATTCACATTTCCAAATTCACCAGTTAAATGTCCTGGAGCTCCACAAAAAATTGTGTATATCACAGAAGAATATCTTAGAAAGGTACATATGTGCTGTTTTAATCATATTTTGTTATGTTTGAATTATGATTCTAATTTGTTATTTTATTTAGTAGCATAATAAAAGACAAAATTCGACTGTAACTTACATGACATCATTACCTGTTATTTTCGGCGTAAAACCGTATGCAGATGCTCTCTGGGAAGTTGTGAAAAAGCGTGATATAAACGTGACGTTGAGAAAAAATTTGTGTGAAGTGAAACCTGAACAAAACGTTGCCGTTTTTCAAGATTTAGATAATCTTACAAAATTTATAGAATTGGAGGTTACGACTTGAAATTATAAAATATAGTTTAAATTTCTCACATTTTTCAATTCAATATGTATTTATGTGTGCTTTTAGTATTCATTACTGCATGCTGTTCCCCCAATGTCGGCCCCACTTGAGTTAGCGCAAAGTACTGAACTAGTAAACGAAGCGGGCTTTGTTGATGTACATCCAAGTACTATGCAACATAAAAAATATAATAATATATTTGCAATAGGAGATTGCTCTGCTTCTCCAAATTCAAAAACAGCTGCTGCTGCTGGTAATTTTACTTTTAAATATGAATAATCAAATGAGATTTGGTAATTACATCTTAAATATGTTCTTTATTTATTTTGTTTTTATTTTATTTAGCTGCTCAAACCCCGGTTGTTGTGGATCATATAATGGCAATAATAAATGGTAAAAAATTAGAACGGGTGTATGATGGTTATGCTTCATGCCCCTTGGTAACTGGTTACAGCAAATGTATTTTAGCAGAATTTGATTATGATTTAAAACCGAAAGAAACATTTCCATTTGATCAAAGAAAGGAACGTTATTCAATGTTTATAATGAAAAAAGATTTTATGCCTTTATTGTATTGGCATTTGATGTTAAATGGTTATTGGAATGGTCCCGATACAATGAGAAATTTATTGAATATATTCAGCTTTGGTAAAAAGAAATACTAAAAATGACAAGTACACATTGATGTAATGACAAAAATATATATACATACTTACGTATGTTTTTAACTTATGATATTATTAAGTTGACAATATTTACAAAAATATAAAATATATTTTCATAATATAACTGACCGCATTTTTTTTTTCTTTATATTTTGATTGTTTATTTCAACTTAAAATATACATATGTGTATATACATAAATTGGCCTTTATTACGTTTACGAAAATTTTCCTATTCCTATCACCAAAATTTCATGCTAATTCCAGCCTTACTGTATGTGAATTTGATTTAATAAAGGAAATTTTCATTTCAATAAAAATTCACTCTTTATTTTGATTTCAAGAATCAAAACTGATTTTGATCTGCGAAAATAGCATGTTCGAAAATGGCACTTATTTTTAAAGTTCTAAATGAATTTTTAAGATTCATTACAACTACTGCAAAAATGTTATAAATTACAAGAAAATTCTCAATATTAAGCAACATTTTTATATTACGCTGTTTTCTTCTATTATTTTTCTACTATAGGTATGTTACAAATTTACAAAAGTAAAAATAATCTGAAATGTGAAAAGATTTTGAAGATTTAATTTTAAACTCTCGGTACATGTCTGAATTATTGAAAATCCCCAAATTTAGATGAACTTTGTGAATGTGTGTTAGGTTTAGATATTGAGTCGATAGGTGCAAAAGGTTGGATTCGATATAAAACGCATAAAATTTTGTTATTTTTTTTTTAATATTTTTATTTTTATTGTGAATGATGTGTTACATAAATTATTTTTTAAAGAGAAAATAAAATAGCAAAAAAGTAGAACAAATATTTTTTTTATTTTTTCATACATATAATACATAATGTACATATATGCATTGTTTTGAAAAAAAATATATATGATAAAACGTGTTTTTAAAATAATGTTAGGATTATAAAAATTTAGTAAAATTAAAATAACATAATAGATTTTTTCTCAAACAAATGATTTTCCTTTTTTTTTACCATAATTCTTTTTTTAGTTTTTGATTTTAAACATTATGGGAAAACAAAAAAAATATTTTTTTTTTTGCTATTTGGTAAGTTAAAGCATAAAAATATTTATTTTATCACCATTTAAGAATTAAATTGGGTCGAATTATTTAATTATTATAAAATATAAATTAAGTAAATTAAATTCAATTAAAATTAAAGGTTTGTTTATTATTTTTTTTTTGAGTTTAAGAAGAAATAGTACAAGATTGATGTTTTTGAAGTACAATTAAGTTTAGGTTTTTTTTAGGTAACAAATGATTGAAATTAATTTTAATGACTTGAAACAAAAATTTTATTATTGTTTTCATTTTGTTGATTTTTGTTTATTTAAGATTTTATTAAATATAATGTTAATATAAACTATATTTTTTTAATATCATTTAAAAAATATATATATTATATTTTAAACAATATCAATTTACTAATTTCATCTTGTTATTGTTAATGATTTATTTAATTATAAATTTTTATAACGAAAATCCTTAAATTTTTTTTCTATCGCAAAAGATGAATGAGTTAGGCAAGAATTTCAGATTTATATCATTAAACAAAAAAAAATAGCTTCAAAGTCATTATTAATTTTAAGAAATGTACATATAAGTATTCATATGAATATATATTTTATGTATGTATATAAAAGTTTAATATATTGGTTAATAAAAAAAAAAAAATAAAATATAAAAAAAAATTTATTTGGGAAATTATGACTAGTAATGTCGAACAACTTCATTCCTATTTCTTTTCTTCTTTCTTTTTTTTGAAACATTAGGTGTTTTTTAAATATTTTTATATTTTGTTCATTTAATTTACTTTAAAAATAATTTTTTTCTTTTTTTGTTATAAATAAATTAACATTTTATTTAAAATTTTTGCACAATGCCATTTGTTTACGAATATGTATATGTATGTATATAATAATATGTATATTTTGTATAAATGTAAAATTTAAAATTTTGTTTGACAAGCGGGTTTTTTCTTTTTTTTAATGTATTTAATATTATTGTATATATATAAATAACAAATAAATATTTATAATTTTTAAAATAAATATTTTTTTTTTGCATTTTTATTAAATTAAAGTACTGACAACATATTTTAAAATAAAAATAAAATTAAAAGAAAAGAAAAAGAGAGAGAAAGAGGGAGGGAGAAACGATTACACGAAAAAAAAAAACAAACAAGGACAGTGATCAACTTTTTTTGTTTACGACGGAAGTTGATGAATTTTTAATTACATTCTAAATATGTATATATGTATGTATACATATATTAAAAGAAAATTTTAAATAATCTTTTTAGAATTATATTCATTTAAGTATAAGATCCAAAAAATTTATAAATCACAAGAATTTAACAAATAAAATTTAAAAATATTTAGAACAATTACTTTTAATCTATTTTTTAAATTTTACATATTTGGATCTTATGATTTTTTGCTTTTTTTTTGTTTTGTTAACTTAATTGTACAATTAAACTCTTTCAACATAGTTTCCAGGGAAAGTTCCAAAACATCCAGTACGTTGTGATGTACCAACATACCAACCATCGTCACATTTTTCTAAAACATGAATTAAATCACCTTCTAATAAATCTAATTCGTCATTATTTTGTGGACGATATTTATATAAGGCACGATATCTAAAATTAAAAAAAAAATTAAATATTAATTTTAATTTATTACTACTAGCTACATATAACGATAATTATTTAATAACAAGTACCAATATATTTTAATTTTTGCAACATTTGTTAATTTGTTATTCAATTATAATTCCATTAATTTTTTTATTAATAGAAGAATACAATTTTCATAGTATTTATAATTTTATATATACTCGTACTTACACTATTGGACGTGTATCGGTATCAACATGAAGTTCTCCAATTTTATGATGATCTTTTTGATTAAAACCATTTGGTAAATTTCTATTTGCCATACTTTGAATTTCGCTATTAATAGTTGTGCGTAATTGTTCAACTGATACAGTATTGTTATTAATATTATTACATGATAATTGATCGTCAGTTGATGCACCAATATCAGTTAAAACCTTTATAAACATAAAAAAAAATGAATAATATTCATTTTAAAAAAATTCTAACATTTTACTAACTTCAACGTATGAAACAGGGAAAATTCCTTTACGATTGGCAATTTTTCCTTCAAACCAATTTTCATCAACTCGTCTGGTTAAAGTTACTAATTCACCTTTATTCAATGATAATTCTACTGCAGACTGTGCTTGAAAATTGAATTTAGCTCTTGCTTGACCTTCTGTTGATTTTTTTAATGGTTTTCTGACACCATCTTTAGCAATAATCTTTTTTTTTTAATATAAAAAAAGAGAATAATTTCATATGGTTTACTGTCAAAATTATTGATATTATAATAATTACTTCTACATAATTTACAGGCATTAAACCAATGACACCATTAAGTTCACCTTCATACCAATTTGAATCTATTTGTCGTCTTATATATATGTAGTCGCCTTTTTTAAAACTTAATTCCCTGAAATAATTTCAATAAATTTGCTTTTATATTATTTGATTTTTAATTAAATTAATATTTTAACTAAATTATTACTATTACGATACTTGTAAGATAAGAAGGGCCTAACAGGAACACAATGAAAAACAAACCGATATTTCAAACAATGAAATTCAGTGTGGAAAAGAGAAAGGAATAAAAATATTTTGATATTAAATTGACTAAGGTTGGTGTAGTATAAGGTTAAAAATTTTTAAATTAATAATTACCGAGATGATTCTCCATTAAAATTGAATAAAGCTTTTGCAACAGTTTTTGGTCCTTTAATTGGTTCAGGTAAATCCGCATTAAATTCATCATATCTGTTTAATGGTATTGGTGATTTTTGAGTTGGTATATAATTATCAGTATGCCTTCGTTTATTCATATCTTGTAATTCTTGTAAATATTTTCTTCTTCTTTCTTCCTCATAAATTTTTGTCATAGATTCAGCTTGTTGGCGTGCTAACTCTTCATCTGGTATAATATCTTTACATTCATAACGTATTGGTGTTTTATAATGAATATTTACATCACCCTCATAATAACGATATGGAGATTCTGCAATGTATTTAATACGGTATAAATAAATTTTTGTGTAAAAATAGTATTTTCATATTATATTGTATTACAAAAATATTCATGACATACATATATATTATTTATGTTATTATTATTTGATATTTTAAGAATTTAGGTATATATGTAGGTATATATAAAATAAAGGCATAGAAATATAAAAATAGAAAACTCAATATGCCAATAAAATAATGTAATTCTAGTAGATAAGTATATACATATGTATATTTTACCATTCTATATGTTTTGTTAACCTGATTACTATTTTTGCTTATTGATTTGGGCGTGCTAATTATTTATTTATTATTATTATCTAATGTAGACATTAATGTATATAAATTTTATGAATTTGTAATACAAATTTTCTATTTTTTATAGAATTCTAGGTAGGATTTATAATAGATGAAAACATTGTGTATATTGTTTTATTGTATATAGTTCACGTCATTCACAATAGCGCTGCTTTAAATTAGAAAACTTAATATTCAGTAGCGCCCTTCAGAAAAGTAGCTTGTTGTGTAATTAAATTCTTCTTCTATATTGCATTATAAACTACATACAATATTCACAATGATGAAAATGTAGATTAACTTTAAAATACATACTTTTTTTTTATTTTAAATAATTTTTAAAAAACAAAAATTAACACTCTATGATTACTTCGACAATTTGAAAACGATTTCAAGATTTTATTATTTATATGTATGTAGATAGAGAATAAATTTTGAACTAAATTCTGAAATTTTATACTTTTCATTGTTTATTGTTCGGATATAGCTACGTTCTTACATATTATAATATTAATCATAATTACGTATATGATTCATAATTGGTTTTTATTACAATAAAAACAGTCTTTTTCTTACTAAAAATTTATTCCATTGTTTGCATGTATGTATGAAAAATTCATTAACCAAACTTCCAGTTATAAGAATGGAAAATCAAAGTGAAACAATTTAAAGTTAACTACTAGAAGGCGGTTAACGT